AAGGTTATGTTGGACCAAATAAAATGTGTTTCTTTCCACTGAATTTCTTCTAGAAGCACTTTTGTTATTTTTCTCAATATATTCGGACAGGTTGGCGTTTCTTGTTATTACATTGACATTCATTTTTGACATCAAAATATCCATATTTTTTTAATGTTCCAAAGGTATTAAGGTCTTGTCCTGGATTCCAATAACATTAATGGCTTGAAATTCTTATTTTCAAAGTATTTCACAGAGTGCCCTATACAGGGTTAAGGCAAAATATTCGCTTAAAGAAACAAAACCTTACAGTAAAGTTGATCTTCCAAGTTTCTTCTGGAAGAAACTGGGAGAAACAATTTTTTTCGGCCGGATAAAACACGGAAAAATCCTGGAAAAAACCCAACGCTGGTTTCCAGCCTTTAAGCTAAACTAACAGGCAGGGGTAGATCTACCATACGGACAATGTTGCCCCCTAATACCACTCTAAAAGAACATTTATATGTGTCTCAAAATAAAATAATAAAGATAATCAGAAACAGGCTTTTAGTTAGCAATGCGTACAGGCCTATATTGTACGCCCTTTAATAAGAAAATAACAAATTGTACGTCCTATTTTTGGAACTCCCTAAAATCCTCCATCAACTTTACTCACGTGTTAAAAAGTTTAGAAGCTGCAGCTGCTGGAGTTGGAAAAATTAAATTTTTGCTGCTGGATGCGCCGCATCAACCAATGAGAGAAGCTGATCTGGGAGCTGGCAGGGAGTCAGACACAGCACTGCTGATGCAGAGCGCTATGATCACTCCTCTGAAACAGTTTATTAACGCCTAAATTAACTTCAAATGTAGAAACCTGCCGGCAGAATATGTTGGCTTTTATTATCCTGCTGCCTGCAGTTTGTAGCACAGACCTGAAAAACGCTAACATCTACTTCCAGCCGCCACCAACAGGAGGGGAAAACCCTGGAGAGGCGAGCGGGCCTGAGGCAGCTGCTGCTGGGGATTCCCAGTGACAGCGCAGCGCCTGGACTTTCTCACTTCAAAATAGATTCAAACTACTTTTTACCCGCTGATCACAGCAAATATAGCAAAGCCGCTCTCTACCACTGAACACAGGAGCATCAGAAGCATCATACACTTTACTCGACGTCTGACCTTAATGCCGAATCAGAAATAAAGCAGCAGAAGTTTTTTTGATGGTGTTAACGTAGCATTAGACTTTCTGACTGTTTAAATTACCTATGAAACATAAAATTGTACCTAAAAATGATCTCATGTCTTCCTTATGAAATTTCCTCCTCTAATCAAGCAGACATACTTCCCATAATCAGGACAATAGTGTTGGAACAAAGACAAAAAGTTAGCTGTATTCCACCTAAAAATGCAGGAAATAGGATTTCAGTCGAAATATTGACCAGGAACCCTGATGACATCACAAATGAGGAATATGGGGAATTCTACAAGGGTCTGACCTTGTAGAAGCCTAAAGATGTGAAACACGGAGGTGTACGCCCTATGAAATATTCCTAGCTAAAGGCCTGCTCTCCAACGTCTGCTCCCAGCAGCCAGAGAGGCTGAAAAAGTCAAACCTAAAGCAGAGCTTAAACATTACTGAAACAAAATCAGCTGAAGCTCCAGACAATTTCATTTAAAATCAATCAGCTAATTTTTCATTTAGTTCCCTGTTATGATCCACTCCACCATTACCTGTGAACGAAAAGAGAAAGAGAATAGAAAAATTAATTAATATGCACACAGCGAATTTGCAGCTTCATGCACAGAAAAAAAAGCACCGGTTGTCGATCCATCCTTTCACAATTCATGATAGTATGAGTCATCATGAAGAGCAAATTTTTACCTGAGCTACAGTTTAACTAATGATCTCTAGCTGTGATGAAAAATATTAGGAGGCCTCTTTGAAATCAGCCTAATTACCAACAACTGGTGCCGATGTTAAAGGAGATATTGCTGCTTCTTCCATTTCATTGAAACATGAAAAAACATTTACGATTAATGTCAGGTCTAAGCACCTGAAACATCATACATCCATACAGGGAAAGAAAGAAAGCACAGAGACAATTAATTTAGTTTTACTCGCGAGGAGAGTAAGAAGGAGACTGCGGAGTTTACAATCTCCAACCTACTCTGCCGGTCTTCAGCTTTCTCCTCGCTATTTATTGAAGTCGGGGGATGTCCCTAATTACACCAGCTGAGGTTTAACTAAAGGGGAAGGGAAACAAAATGATCTTACTTTAAACCTCAGCGCATATGTTAAAACAAAGCATGTGGTTGTTTTACAATTGAATTCTTCCAAGAACACATGGTTAGAAGAAACAGGATGTTCAGGCCTCTTTCACAACCCGTCCGTTGCATGACCTTAATCTGGAAGTTAATAAACGATGAATCACACATTATACATCATAATAGTTCATTAGAACAACCCATGAAACACAGAGTATAAATAAAAATTTTCTAACAGTTATCATCGGCCAACAACGATGCAAGAAAAAAAAACACTGGCCTAAAAGTCAGCCGACAGATGAACTTATTCACATTAGAGGCATAACGAATAGCAGGAAGTGTTATGAATGGCGGCATGAGCGGCTTCTGACGCCTGTTTCTCCTGGTTGACAGTATAAGATCCTGAATGTCCCGCTGTCGTCCCACCTGGCGGCGAACCACTTCAACCAGCAGCAGGCGGAGCAGGAGGAGCGGATGAGGATGAAGAAGCTCACCCTGGACATCAACGAGAGGCAGGAGCAGGAGGACTATCAGGGTACGCCACCAGGACCCGTGGAGGCCCGCCAGGAAAACCAGAACCTTGTTTTGATGACTTCGTTATTTGACTTCAACAAAATGTTTCATTGATCCCTCCGTTCTGTGTGTCTGACAGAGATGATGCAGTCCTTCGCCCAGCGTCCGGCGCCAGCCAACACCAACCGAGAGCGACGGCCCCGCTACCAGCACCCGAAAGGCGCTCCCAACGCCGACCTCATCTTCAAAACTGGAGGAAGGTGAGGCGTCCAGAGCCGCCAGGAAGCAAACCAGGAGAATGTGACGCACCTGGGGCCTCGTTTAGCTGAGAAAAGTGCAATAAATGAAAAGCAGGAGGTTCGAGGCAGGCAGAGAGACCAGAAGCCGAGCATCTGAGACGGCGAGGAGAACCCAGACGGCGAGATATTGTAACATTAATAACTGTTAAAGAGTAACTGGGCTCTGCTTCTGTTGTGTGTCTGTTTAACTGCAGCTGTTTGGCTTTTTAACTGGTTTTCCTGATCTTTGCTGCTCCATGGAAGCCAACCAGACATTTTTAATTCTTATATCTTTATATTTTTACTTTGTTTTTCATTCAGCTCCTTCATCTCATCTTTCCTTCCTGCTTTAGATGCCAGAGTTTAGGTTTTCAAACTATTTATCTTTCCTCCCAAAGCATTTAACTTTTCAATCTCTGCTTCAGATGTAGAAATTTATGAGATGTGAAAGTGGATCTAGGAAAGAAAAGAAAGAGGTTGCTACAAGTTTCTACAAGCTGCTGTCTGTGCTTTAAGCTGCAGCTCTGCTCGTCTACAGTAACTGTCCTGCTCTTTCCTCCAGGAGACGCTGATCGGAGTCTGGGCCCGGGCTGAACGAGCGAGCGAGCATCAGAGAGAATGAGCCAGCAAAAGAGAGAGAGAGAGAGCGAGGAGGAGACGTGAGGGGAAAGCGGTCGCAGGCGGGAACGAGTCCTCCAGACGTCAGGACTGTCCAAAACCCTCCTGACCTGAACTCACACTGTTAGCGAATCCAGAGGTCGGGGGGGGGCGTATGAGAGGCGGCATCAAGAGGTCAGAGGTCAGGGCTCAGACAGGGGCTCTCTTTCTTTTTTGTCTGTTATCTGAAATGACAGAAAAAATGCCAGCAGTCTGGACTGGAGGACAGACCACACGCACCTGAGCAGCGGACCGGCGGGCTGGGGGGGCTTTAGCAGCTGTCACCGCACCAGCTGGAGGAAAAATAAACTGCTTTAAAGAAGAACATGTCTGCATATTCTTCTTTTTTCTTTTTGGGAACCAGTCGGATCAACAGAGACTCTGAGAAGGCGATCAGTTTCCGCTGGTTTTTGTTCCGCAAAGCAAAGAAGTGAATCTTTTCAGAGGAATCATGAAGAAGATCAGAAAAAGGATGAAGAAGAGGTGGAGGATGTCCGCTGATCACTTCCTAGAAGTCAGGAAGCGTTCTTAATCTGTCAAATATTCTCCTGATAAAGAAAAGCAAACATTTCAGATGAGATGCTGAGAACAATCTGAGGCTGCAGCTGCTTTCTTCCATCACCACAGATCTCTAAATGCTGCAGAAACAAAACGTTTAAATCTGTTTTTTTATTTCATGGTTTATTACAGTTAGGAATATTTGTTTAGCATTTGCTAGTTTTTCATCAGCTGCAGATTTAAGTTTAATGATTTTATTTTGGGCTCAATAATTGACCAACAATCATTTCCAGAAGTTAGAATCTTTCTGCTTTTTCCCTCCATTTGAAATGAAAGTTTCTGATCTATTTTTATTAAAAAACAAAAGAAAAATATCTTTTTTCAGGTAAAAACCCGAACCTATACTGGAGTAGTATCTGGGTAAATCCCTCAGTGGGCGGGGCCTGATGCTAGACTTTAAATGCTCAGTACCTTAAATATATCAACTTTTCAAAATATTGATGGAAAGCCTGTTTATTTCCCTTTAAAATGTATTTCTGGGCTCCAAACATGAAAATCTTAACAGATCCTGTTTGTTCCAAAAAAGTTCAAAAACAATCCACTGGACTTTGTCTCCATGTTTTAAGACGTCATCATCGCTACCCCCACCCCCTTACAGGGGAACAGAAGACCTCACCTATTCAGCCAGGCCAGCAATTCCCTCTAATGACCCCCCTTTCAGAGACATAGACAGGTATGGGGCATTGCAGGCTAACAAAGAAGCCAAACGACCCCCATTCCAAAGGGGGGGACCCGTTCATCCGTTTCTATTTGCTTGTTTTCTAAACTAAAACCAGGCTTTGTTTTGGTTCGCTCTATAAAACCTGGAACTAAACATTTTTTCTGACATTTGGAATTGAAAAATCTTCCTGGATGGAAGAGAAACGTCTTCAAACTTGGAAACAAAGTCCAATGCATAGATTGATGATTTCGATTAATCAGGAATCACAGTTTCTCTTTTCTAAAACAAACTAATTGTATCGTCCAAGATGTCCGTCCTCTATCTGAGAAAACCTCCAGTATTGGGGAGGGGAGGACGGGACGCCCCGCCTGCAGTCTGTATGGGACCAGCTTCCACTGCTGGTCTAAGAACGGTCCCACAGCAGTGTGACCATCAAGAGGAGAAGCTGCTTCTCTCTAAATTTACCAAGTTGGTTAAAATAGTTTGATTTCTAATTTTCCTTGAGAATCAAATTTTTTTTTTATTTGAATTAAAACAGAGTTTCCTTCAGTATAAAGTTAATTTCTAAAACGGTTTAGATGGAAACTTAAATCAGTTATTTATCCATTTGTTTCTAAGCACTTTGTTCTTTTAATTGATTTTAATCAAAAATAAAAACGTTAATCAGTGGAAAAACCTTCAGCATCAAATCAGTCACACCCTTCTTATTCCTGCTGATTAATTTAACACATTTCCACTGATCTGCTTACATTATTTTATTCCTATTTTGATATTTTTCCTAAATGCTAGTAAAGTTTAAAAAAATCCATTGGTCTGCATCTTTACAGCAGTCCCCCCCCCCCCTTTTTTTTATTTTATTTTGGTTATATGTAAACAAACATGTAAAATCTAATCTAAAGCTGCACAGTGGATGAATGTGATTTAAAAGGATGTTTTGCTCTGATTGGACAATAATTCAAAGCAGGACTGTTAATAACAGCAGCAGCGTCTCCAAACATCAGAGACTTTTTATCTCCGGGTGGAAATGGGATCACTGATGGACATCTGGGTGTAAATATTTATCATGTTCCAACCTTATTCAGACAAAATTATGAAAAAAAAAATGTCTTTATGGTTTAAACTTGGATCATTAACCTTCATCTTGCTTTGATTGCAGTTTTATCTTTTTTTTTGGGCTACTTTCTCCTTCCTGGGACTCTGCTTTACAGACGATCTCTGCTTTTGTGTCTTAGATGAGTTCAATGTTTTAAAGCTTTAGATGGATAAATATATTCTGCCACTTCGGCCTTTCTGCACATTCTTTTCGTCGTTTTCTGGCCGTGCTTCGAGTTTCTTCGTGCTCTTTGAAATAGAAAATGAAGCTTTGTGTCACCGCTCACGATGATGAGATTACAGCGCAATAAATGTGTGGAGATATTGGATGTTTGTTTTTTTTCTCCTAAACGGGGTCTGTGCTGTATTCCCGCCAGCCGAGTGTTTTTAGGGTGCGTCTAGTCTTAGTGTTTGTCAAGGTCTAATTACAAGGCAGCGAGCGTATTTCCTCATTTCCTGCCACAGCTTTTCTCTAAATGCTGCACAGCAATGTGAAGCATGGAGAGAATGAAAGATGTTATGAAGAGGAAAGATGGTTTAAAGTCACTCAAACAGTTTTATGGGTTTACTGTCTTTCTCTGCACGTTAAAAACCTTTTGTAGTCTGCAGAGCCGGAGACACCCTGCATAAAAACAAGCTGCAGGGATCCTCCCTTTGAGGTAAAACTCATTTATAAATTCATTACGCATCCTGATACATTCAGAGCCTTTATTTCCTGTTTTATGTAAGCTCAACAAAACATTTTAAAACATGGATGTCAGGATTTGTAATCATCATACAGTTTGTCAGAGTACTTTAAAACCAGTGGATTTCAGAAACCAGGAGGAAACCTGAATCATCATTGGTAGCCTCAGTCAACTCCTTGTGAAGCTCCTTTTTTTATTTATTCTTTATTTGGAACATGCAAGAGAAAAACAATAAAACAATGTTTAAAAACATTGGAGAGATAAACAACAAACAAGGTACCCTTCTTTCCTGAGTTGTGCGAAAAGGAGTAGTATTTCTTCAATTTACAATATTTATAATTATGTTGCTATATATATCCATATAAATACATACCTACATACACATATACATACATAAATATATATACACATATACCTTCATACATATATACAAATAAATAAAACAAAAAACACACAAAACTTTCCATAATGCTTCTTTATACCTTTTGAAAATAATTTTTTTGAAAAGGAATAAGTTCGGGCATTTCTTTACACTGCAAAAAACGATCTGGAAACGAGTAAAAATGTCTTAAAATTAGTGTATTTAGCATAATTCAAGCAAGTAAATAAGATTTGCCAATATAATTTGTATTTTTACTCTTAAAATGAGATAATTAGATAATATCCACTTGGAACAAGACAACGCAATTGTTTTTTCTTATTTTAGATGTAAATTGCCTTATACCATTGGCACTGTGTAGCACTTAACTGCTTAATTCAAGAAAGAAATGCTCTTTTTTTTAAAGAAAAATAAACTTACTTAGATTTCAATTTTTTGCAGTGTAGGTTCTCATTCAGTTTGTTCCACAATTTAACTCCGCAAATTGATAAACATAATATTTTCCTTGTTGTTCTACATGTATTAGTCTTAAAATTTCCCCTTAAATCGGACCCTCCCTCCCTTTCAGAGAAAATATTTTGTATATTCCCAGGCAATAGGCTACCTCTTACTTTGAACATGAATACTGCAATTTGGTATTCTATTAAATCCTGGTATTTTAGCAATTTAGATTTTAGAAATAATGAGTTTGTATGATCCCGAAGTCCGGCGTTGTGAAGGATTCTTATTGCTCTTTTTTGCATTATGACTAGTGGCTGTAGTGAGTGTTGATAAGTGTTTCGCCAAACCTCTACACAGTCATTCAAATAAGGTAACAGTAGTGAGTGGTATAGGATGTGAAGTGCTTTGGAATCCAGAATGTACTGAAATACTTCTGGGCAGTTTGGTTTTGATGTGTTTTATTTGAGGCTTCCAGCAAATCTTGTCATCTATGATCACTCCAAAGAATCGTTAAATGTTTTAATTGAATGGACAATCCTCGCAGGGCTGCTGGTTTACCTTTCCCACCGTCATTTTTCCTTCCACTCAACTTTCCATTCATTTCTTTAGGTTAAACACTGTGAACATCCAGCTTCTCGAGACGTTCTGTCGCCTTCAGGTAATTTAGAGGCTTAGAAAACCTCTTCAGGTGTTTTTCAGGCTAATTAGATGATTGGAGTCTGACGCCATTTGCTTCCAATGTTTAACCTATTTACAGACTTTGATTTAAATTTATTAAGCCGTAGTCACAAAAAAATCAAGATAAAGATTAAATCGATAAGGTGTTGAGCAGCTGAAAAAAGTTAAACCTTTTAAATGTACCTTTTAAAACATGTCAAATAAAAACAGTGACACAGATGTCAAGTTGTTATGCTGACTTATATTAGTCACCCGTTCCAACTTAGCTCTTGAACGTGGTGTGCTTTGGGCGGGACGTCATCCAAGCCTCCAGCTGCGACCTGCAGCCAGCCTTCAGCCGACTGCTTGCTTTCCAAAAAGTTTCACACACTACAGCTGATTTATAAAATAATTTCCGTCTTATGTTTCAATTCATAAAAGGGAATAAAACTGTATTTTGCATATTTTACTGCAGTGGAAAAACGATCTACCGTAAAAATAATTAAAACATTTCTTAACTTAAGTTTATTTATCCTTAATTTGAGCAGGTAAATGAGATAGTTTGCCAATGGAATGAGTATTTTAACTCTTAAAATAAGATAATTGGATAAAATGCACTGGAAATAAGACAATCCAATTTAATTTTTTTATTTTAAATGGAAATTGTCTTGTTTCATTGACAAAATGTCTCTTTTACCTCCTTAGTTCAAGAACAAATGCACTTATTTTAAGAAAAAATGACTTATCTTGATTTGGATTATTTCAGTGTGGAGATCAAGGTTCGTTATGACAAGAGATTGTTTCTCTTGCACTGGAAAAACGATTTAGAAATAAGTAGAAATTTCTTAAATTAAGTGTATTTACCCTGAATTTGAGTAGGTAGATGAGATAGTTTGCCAATGGAATGAGTATTTTCACTGTTATAATAAGATAATTAGATAACATGCGCTTGAAATAAGACAATACTATTGTACTTTCTTAATTTAGTTATGAATTGTCTCGTTCCATTTGCAAAATGTTTTACTTTCCTCCTCAATTTAAGCAAAAGGGGCACTTATTTTAAGAAAAATTGACTGATATAGATTCAAATTTTTTGCAGTGTGCTGTTTCTTTTGGATTAAGGTGTTCATTCAGGGGGTTCAGTGAGCTTTAACGGGAAAAAACTGCTGCTTATAGCAAATCTTCAGGTTTTTTTCCACATTAATTAAAGATTTTGGGTAGAATTATACTTGTAAAAGCCTAGAATATACAGACAAGAAGTAGCAAAGTAATAGAAAAACACCAGACCCAATAAAAATGACAGCCGTGCTGCTGTGTCTATACACTGGAAAAAATCGAAATCTACCCGTAGATAAGTCATTTTTTCTTAAAATAAGTGAATTTGTTCTTGAATTTAGGAGGTAAAAGAGACATTTTGCCAATTGAACAAGACAATTTACACTTATAATAAAAAAACACAATTGGATTGTCTTACTTCAAGTGCATTTTATCTAAATATCTAATTTTAAGAGTAAAAATACTCATTCCATTGGCAAATCATCTTTTTTAAGGGTAAATACACCTAATTTAAGAACTTTTTACTTATTTCTAGATCGTTTTCACAGTGTATGACTAAATCAATAACTGTTGGGTTGTGTTTAAAATAATAGGAATATACAGTTTGGTGGGGGATCCTAGTTATGGGAGAAACTCTCATTGGAATCTGCCTTTTCTTGTACACTAAATTTTTATCTGGTAAAAATTTGCCTGCAAAAAATTCAGCTGCTAAAAATTCGACCTCAAATTTGTGACCTTTTGGTGAAAATCCAAAGCAATCTACAATCGATGCAGTCGATCAGCTTCTAGACAATGAAATGAGTTCATTTGGTCACGTGACTCATGGGCATAGCTTTGTTACTGGCTGAATAAAGCTGAATGAGGAGTTTTTTCTTGTTAAATAGACATGATTACAAAACTTCAGGTAGCTACTAATAGACAGCCATGTAATCGGACTGGGTGAAATAACTGAGCTGATCATAGCTAGTTCAGCACCCCCGTCTACTAGGGGTGGGTTTTGCTAAATAAGTCACGATTCGATTCGTATCACGATTCACAGGCCACGATGCGATTCTATCACGATGCATCACGATACTTGAATTATTGCGATGCATTGCAATATTTTCTCCTCCATGTTTTGTTTTTTAATGACTCGGCGCAGTATCCCGCGTCCGGAAATGCTTGTGACACAAGGCAGTGTGCGTCAACACATCCGCAGCGACATCTACTGGACTGGAAGTTGTATTACACTTGTTTTTGGCTGATGTTCGCCAAACATTCATGCAATTTTATTTATTCATTTTTTTTTTATTAATAATCGATACTTGGCGTCAAGAATCGATGCAGTACATCACAAAAATTAGAATCACGATGCATCATCATTACGATTATTTTGCACACCCCTACCATCTACCAAGGCTCTTGCTTTGATTTGGAAGAAGCGGCCGGTGGCAAACTTTTTTTTTTTTCTGACTAAATTAGCTACTTTCACTTCCTAGAAGCTGCTCAGCTGCATTAAGTGTAGATTGCTTTGGCTAGAGTTCACCAAAAGGTTTTTTTGCAGGTGAATTTTCTCCATATAAAAGAGCAAGGAATTCAATGTGTAAGAAAATTCAGTGTTTAAAATTCGGTGTTAAAAGAAATTCAGTGTTTAAAATTCGGTGCACAACAAAAGGCAGATTCCAATTGGACTGTTTTTCTTCTATACTAATTAAAGGACAGAGGCAGCAGAAGTGCATGCTAGTTAAAGTTAATTCCTGCAATAAAAGCTAGATGTGTCCGCTCATGTTAGCTGCACTCTTTACATCAGAGGTCACCAACGCGGTGCCCGCGGCCACCAAGGGCCCCTCAAGGACCACATGGGGGGCCCTCTTCGTCTTCTGAAAACAGAAGAACTCCCTCAGTGGGTTAAGTTAAATTTTTTTTTTATTCTGTTGCTCTTCTTTTTAATCATTTATGTATTATTTCATCATGTTAACTATTTCATCATATTTCAGTGGTTTCAAAATGACAATATTAAAAAGAAAATTAGAAATGAATAAAAGAATAAAATAAGAATAAAAATGAGTTTTTATGGATGAGATTTACTGTAGGTGAACACTGATCCCTCCAGTTCATAGGTCAGTATTGGTAGCCATTCCTATGACTCAGTAGCCATGAAGTAGCCCTCAGCCTTAAAAAGGTCGGTGACCCCTGCTTTACATGATGGGCGAGTTATTGGGAGCCTTCACTGTAAGGCCTGCGTGTTGGAAACAGGGTGGAGTCTTTAACCAAAGCTGTTTGTTTTTCTGTTGGTTTTTATCTCATTTGAAGAGACAGTTAAAACCAGATATTTACATACTCTGTTAAAAAAAAAAACACATAACCTTTTGGGTCGACTATGACTACTAAAATTGTTATGAAAAAAACAAAATGTCTTCAAATTTAGAGTGATTGGTCCAATTCCTAGATAGCTGAATGCAGATATAGGCGGAATTTCAATCTCGAAATATAATTCTGTTCTGGAAGGAAACTGAGTCTTTAGGTACAATATATGAATCAACAGCTAAAAACATTGTGAAGATTCTGAATAAAGATAGATGAATCGCCTTTATGTTCTACCATCATCAGAATCAGAATCAGACATACTTTAATAACTGGACTGAAATGCCGCTCAGATAGGAAGAAGCCAGTGCTTTTTTTTTACTAAAAAGCTACAGGAAGTTTCAGAATACTGTTGTAAAAATATGCTTAAAGACAAAGCTGTCTCCTTTTGTTGAAATGTTCAGTGGTGTGCTGAAACAAACAGAAGCCTTTAGATATAATGAATGACTGAGCATCATCTGAAGGTGATTTTCATCTTTCAGCAATTTTACTGAATGTGTTTCCAATAGATGATTGTTCTTTTTAACAGAAAGTGAAGGATAGATAAAAGAAAACAGACTCAATAAAATATGTATTTTTAAATAGAACAATATTATCGGGTAAAGATTTTGATGAAAGCTCAGACGCTGGTGTGAAGTTTTGGCCGCCAACTCCATCTGCGGCTCGAAACTCATTAAAAAAATAAATAAAATCACAGTGAAACCGGCTCGATAGTTTGAATAGATTATCTCTAAAGGGATCATTTTAGGCCTTTTTTTCAAAGTTGATGCAAAATTCTTTTGTTTTCTTCATATTTCTTAAAAAAAAAAAAAAAAAACTTTATCTACAGCCTAAAACAAAAAGATGTTTCTTTTTCTTATTGCTAAGAACATTTCAAGAATTTTCTCCTTTTATCTGTTTTTGATTTCATTTATAAAATTATTAGTTTTTGTTTCAGAGCAGAAAGTTGTCTCTAGAATCTGAAGATGCAACCCAGTCCAATAATCCTACATCTATTCTGACCACAAACTGCAGAACGTTCATCAGATGGTTGAGCTTTACATGAGATCTGAAAAAAAACCTTTTTGGTGAGCATTTGTTTTCTAGTTTCACTGCCATTCCTGTATGAGATCAGCTTTTAAAAAACTGCTGTTTAAAAAGAGGCTTTGTACCAATTTAAAGAGTCCTTCTCTATCAAGCCATGTTCAGAGTTCTCACTAGGAAGGACTGACACAAGGAGAGTGGATAAACTGGATGTGATGCTCTGGCAGTCAGTTATTTCTAAAACAAATAAAGGAGGAGGAGGATACATCCTTGGGGAACACCAGTGGAAGAAATTTAGATGAAACCCAGTTTTTATTTTTGACCTTTCATATTTCAATGTAAAATAAATCATTTAGATCCCAGTGAAATAGTGTGAGATGTCCCTGGAAGTAAAAACCAACATAATTACCCGAATTATTATAATTTCAAAAGTATTGATATCAAATGCTTAGAGAATGTTGGTAAACTTTGTATTTCCTGGCAAAAAAATATGACATTAAATAATTATTTTTTTAATCCTAGCTGACCTGAAACAGTAAAAAAATAGCCTAATTTAAAGTCAGATGATGAGGAAAAAAGTTACTTTCAATCAAATTTAGCTTATTTTTTTAACTGCCAATTCACAAAACGTCGTCTCAAGGCATTTTCCAGTTCACCAGATCATCCAGTCAGATTGAGTCAAAGTTTTCTATCCAAGAAAAGCATGCTTGTAGCAACAGTGGAGAGGAAAAACTCCCTTTGAACAGGAAGAAACCTCCAGCAGAACCAGGCTCAGTGTGAGCGGCCATCTGCTGAGGCCCACTGGGGTCTTTAATGCAAATCTAAGCAGAATTTATATTCTATCTTTGTCTTTTTAAAGTGTTGTTAATAAATTGTTTTCATTTTCTCGTTTAAAGCTGGAAACCACAACAGAATTTAGACAACATCAAACTTCATTTTTTTTTATTTCCCACATTCAACAAAAAACAAACCAAAAAAAAAAACAACCTGGCTCATGATGTTATGCTTTATAAGGGACAAAATATAACAACCGTTATATTAAGATATACATGATATACATTATCAGGACATTTCAGGCAACAGCAGCTTTTATTCTGCTGTCATTTATTTTTAACAATAAACGCAGATGCGTGTTTCGCAAAGACATCTTCTCTTAGAGTATTTTCAACAGAATGTTCTGTTTTTAAATGCACCATTAGATACTTCAAAAAGACTGTAGATGAACTACAGAGAACCGGAGTCCGTAAACAAAATTTACTAAATATACTTCAAGGATTGCTGTAGGTGAACTACAGAGGCCGGAGTCTGAATAAAACACACACACACACACGTAAAACATTACATGCATTCACAAATGTCAAAGAGAGCAAAGCTATTGATTCAAATGCACAGAAGTACCCCATGATGTATTTCTGGACTGTGTGGTTTTCAGCTGGAGTTCTGCACAGTGAAGCGTCCTTAAAGAGCAGGGTTTTAAAGTACTCCTTCCACATGGTAAAAATGTCCGCCCCACATTCCCTTTGCAGCAGTTTGTGGTTTAGTGTGGGTTGTTTGTCTGAGAGGGTAAAAATACCATCCAGCTCCACAGTAAAGAAAATGTACATCCAGATCCCCGTTTTCTGCACAACCATTTCACTTTGGACATTCGTACCCTCTGCTGTCTGCTTCTCCTCATTCAGATGTACGTTTCAGTCGTTATAAAACATAAAAGCATAGAAAAGTGCTTAAATTGTCTCTCAAAGCTTTAGTAGGAAAAAAATAAAAAATAAGAAAACTGCTCACTAAATTAGTAAACATTCATACACAACACAAAATAAACAGAAAAGATATACTTTGAAAAGGGAATAAGACACATGCATATCTAAAAGGCACAGTTTCAAATTATCAAACATACAAATACAAAAGTCTGAAACAAACTTTCTCCAATAAAAAGTTTGTTTCAGGATTTAAAAAGTTCAAACATCCTCAAATGAAAATAATCCCTGACAAATAACGCCTTACAATCTGTTAATTAAACAATAATGGTTATTTTGGGGTATTTATTATTAATTTATTAAATTTATGAACAAGATTTCTTTTGGTTGTTTTTCAAGAGATATGATTAAACCTTTAGACTAATCATAATTTGATAAAGGTAGACATAAACTGATAGGTAGAAAATTATTGCACTTTTTAACGTATTTTTTTTGTCATTATTATACAATAATCTCAACAGATCAGTGGCCATAGCTGTAACTAAAAGGCCAAAGTTAGATGCAGAATTTAAAGTTGGAGTTTTTGTTAATCCTAAAAAGGAAAAATCAGCTGAAACTAGAATTTAAAAAGTCAGTACTTAAAATTCAATATGGCTGCCAGTTTGATGTTCACACCTGTTTTAATTTTAAAATCCATCCCAAATACTGCGCCGTATTAACTGCCCCTGTTTCTTACAGGTCTATTCTGTTGTTTATTTTTTGTTTTTTTAACTGATCATGCTGGAAATTTAGATTTTCTAAGTTCAGCTGGAATGTTCTGGAAAGGCCATATTTGAAAAGTTGAACAAACATGCCTGCTTCTCTATAAATGGCTGACCATATGGTATTGATAATATTTTTACCCCCAAATTTGTTTTGTTTTCACATTTATTAAGTCACATACATTCATGTTACTATTTCTATTTGCAAATATGTTACTATCGAATTTAAGGCATAAAGGTTGTCACTGTATAGCTAACAATGGTTAGCAATGATAGTAGGCTAACTGTAAAAGTGGTAAGCAATAGTTCATTGCTAACTGCTAATAGCAGCTGATGTAACTTAGCTGACCACAGTGATTTAGAGTTTGACATTTTTATGCTAACAAAAAAACAAAAACAATTACAGGAATGTTCTCGAATGGTTGAATTTTATATTATATGGTTAGCAAGATTCCTAAATCCAATATGGCTAACTCCCTTATAATGACTACCCCATCTACAGTTTTTCCCAATCTTATTTGTCCATTTTTATTTTATTTATATATTTAATTGGTCACATATTGTACTGTAGTTCTTCTGTCAGTAATGATTAGGCTATACAGTTTAAATGTATATATATATTGTCACCGCAATGCTAATAGTAGCTGATAGCTATCTGTTGATAGCTTTTAGCGTTATAACGGCACGTTTGTCACTTTTTTCTGACAAGTTTTCTAAACATAATGGTTTGTTGTTATGTAATTCCAATTTGAGAGGTGTATAAACACACCGTTTGCCTTAATTTCCATATATCTAATAAAAGTCCTAAAACAAACAAAAAAAAGGTTCCAAAATTTTAAGAAATACTCTTAATGTAGATCAAAGGTATTGGAAAACAGGTAAATCTGTATAGTTCTGAGAAGTTTTCACCCCTTTGTAGAAAACAGCCTAAAAGTGACGAAGTAGACTTTAGATAGAAGACTGGAAAATGTACAACTAATCCTTTCTCCCATTTTAAATATATCTAAAATTAACCACATTTGAGCTATAAAAAAGAACAACAAAAAAGGTGAGACATAAAAAATATCCATGACTCCCCTATAAAGCATTGCCATTTTCCCGTTGTATGTAGGGCTATTTTATACAGTTTCATTGTTGAGACTTAACAGACAATCTTGAACCAGTCGAGATTTGTTCTGGGAAACAAATGTTGGGTATTTAAAGAAAAAAAAGTACTCTCATTTTTTAAAACTAGATAGTGAGGGCCTAAACTGGTCTGTTCAGTACAGCTTCATTCCTCTGTGAAAGCTGGATTGCCTACAGGCACACCTCACATTCAGACAAGAGGTGAAACTTCTTGCATACCATCTCCATTAGCAGAGAGATGTTGATATTCCAGTCCAGCCAGCGGAGACTAAATGGCAATCTCTAAAAGGTTGATTAAGAGTCTTTAAGCAGCCCAAGTCTCCTTAACGCCTCCCTGCGTGATTCATCCATGGCCCCTCGTCCACAAAACTGAACCGTGATACCTTGGGGACGGAACATGGAGGTTGGCCTCCGCCTGTATTCAGGAGACGAAGCCCTTGCTGGTGGTTTCTGGGAAGGAAGCGCACCGTAGTAGGAATGCCGAGGCGGTTTGGGGGCTGGGTTTGGCGGTGGAAGTTTGACACTTTTAGAATGGCTTTCGGAAGTCCGATATAACCCAGAAACAGGATCAAAGGTTCTGCTCTTTCCTCCATACTTGTTTAACTCGGCAGAGTGACGTTCTGGTTTGGCAGGAACAGGTTCCTTTGAGTCAATATGAGAGCTGAGGATGTCAGGTAGATTGGCTTTGGCCACAGGTGCTGTTCCAGGGGTTATGACTTTTGACTTTCCACCGTATGGACTGTGCTCTATTGTGTTGGATGGTGTGAGTTGAACGTTTTTAGGCTCGGGGCTAGTTGGAGAGATTGGAGGTTCATTCTTATGGGGTATAGAAGGATGGACCACAATGGATTTCCCTCCGAAGCTGTTAAATGCAGGTGAGGTGACCTCAGCTGGAGGAGGGGAAGGACAGTGCTTTGGGGACATTGTTGGGGACGAAGGGCTCAGCTGATAGCTTCTTTCATCGTGACTCCTCAAGGGATGAGGCGGAATTGGTGCCCTGGGTTCTAGACTAGTGTCTGGAGATACAGCTCTGTGGTCTGGACTTCTTAGGGGAACCTGTGACGAGGTGTCTGGTGTCATTTGGAGTGATGCAGCTCTGACCCTTGTCAGGCCCAACTTTGATAGGGCTTCCATCCTGGATTGATCCGGAGCAGGGTCTCTAAAGGAAATACTTCTTGATGGACTATTTTGGGCGTTGAGCTCCAAACCTTGCTTAGAATTGTTCTGGACTAGAGGGTGGGAAGTACCTGCCAGGTTTGCCAACATCTGCTCCTGTCGTTCATGCATGTTTACATTAGTCACTGGTTTTTGATGCTCCTTTCCACCAAGAACCACGTTGATGTTTGGGGGATAGTGGCTTGGCTTTGCAGAGGTAGGTGGGCCATGTTTCACCGAATAATTTGATCTGTCCCCTGGGGATTTTTCGCTGCTGTCGCTAAGGCGGCGGAGTAAAGGGGAAGAATGCAAGTTTGAAGTTCCGTCTCCCTGGTTCTCTGCTATCTTCTGGGCAATCAGCACCGGAGTAGGAACACTGCCTGGAGGATGGTAGGAGGAATGTGTATCTGATGGTCCAAAGCTTGCACTTCGTAAAGGAGGGTTATAGTCTGGGGAGAAACTGTCATGCCTTGGCTTTATGTCAAAGTGGCTCTCAGGAGGTGGTACCATGTGGCGAAAATCTAGATGTAAAGAGAAAAAAACATAGTTAGGACATAAAATATGGATTTAGGAAAATAATCAGGTCAAATTCAAAATATCACTTACATCTAGAAATTGTGAGTGGAAGTTTTTTACCAGAATAAAAACAACTATTTTTATACCTGGATCAGTGGGGTTGAAGATTGGCTCTTTAGTGTGCACCAAGTCTGGTTCTGGGTGGACCAAGTCGATTATATCATGGTTCGGAGCCAGGCTTGGAAGACCGTCAACCTGTTCAACAGCCTGCCTGTGGTGTTCGGGGGCCCTCCTCTGCCCAAGACGTTGCTTCTCCTCATCCAGACTCTCCTCCAAAGACTCAATGGTTTCCTCAAAGAACTGGAGGCACTCCTGTTCCTCTGGACTCAGAATATGTAGAGTATTGTCTCCCTGAAGGAAGAGAAAGTAGCTTTAATACTAGACAAAGCACTTCTGTTAACTAAGATATCAATTAGTGATTACCCTATCCAAGCTATAAAGGATCTATAATTGTCTAAATTGCTGCATTTGGAGATTGAATGAAAACTTTTCTGATGATCCTGAAAAGTATAAAGAGCTCCACCTGCTCTTACTGGGTGTGCCCCATAATGAAAGTAAGTGAAGACCAATAGATCTAGTTTAAGTAAAGCTAACTACCTGCAACGACCCCCAACCGTACGGAAGAAGATCATTAGAACCGCTCAAAGGCTGCGACCTTCAGCTTAAGCTGAATGATTGTGCAAACAAAGTTTTTGCTGACGACAAGGTTATGAAAATCCTGAAAACAAGATGACTGCACATTCTGTTTAGCTTCACAGATAGGATCACACAAAGAGACAGCAACACCCAGCTGAAACCAATGCGAGATAAACACCGGGCTGCTGGTTTCAGCTGGAATGAATGACGTCTATTGTAGTGAAGAAGCTCAGGATCCAGAAAACTGCAGCTCAACTGGTTTGACTGTTTTGCCTGTTGATAATGAACATTATTCCCAAAGGTTAACAATGGGAATTACTGGTTAAGCTGGTGTGATCTCCCAGAGAACTGTGCTCGCTGATGGAGTTGTGTAAACATAGAACAGAGTCAAGGTTAAATACAGTTTGGTATATCAGTTCATCTGATAACCGCAGTTTAAAAGGTCCGGGTAATCTGACAGATCTTTATCTGGCTCTATAATGCGGTTTAACTGCAAATTAAAGAAGCTTATGAAAAGTTACTCTGATAGTTAATTTGAATAATTGGTACACTTCTCTATTGTTTTACACATTTGTTTGAAATGAAATGTTAATCTTAAATGTGGATTTATAGAATCAATGGCAGTCAGTCAGAGAGTCAAAGAGATTAAGTCAGTCTAAAGAACTTATAAGTTCAATTAACTCGGTGAGGAATACAAACGTTCATACGTTCTGTTTATTTTGTCAGGGTGGCAGAAAAATTTAATTATAAAGTTCGGGGTTGATGGGAAATGTCTGACCTTCTGAGCTGAAGTTTTACATAAACTTATTTTAGCTTCATGTCACACAGAGACAAAACCTATTTTTCCCAGAAATGTAGTTAAACACAAACCGCCAACTGCTTTACTGTCTGTTGCAAAAAGCTAGCAGTGGCCCCTCTATTAGCCGGCTGGCATGAAGACTCCCATAGACATAAAATATGTTTAATGGAAAAGTCCGGTCGCATTCAGAATTCAAACTTCCGAAAGTACTTTAAGTATGAAATGATTACGTACTTTTCAATAAATGATCAGTGTTTCTAATACAGAGTAATTTTCATGTGAATGTGCTTTACTGGAGGCATCCATGTTTATCAAAGAACACTACTGCCACCTACTGGTTAGTGACGTCACGGTGCGGTATCGGCTGTTGATCAAGTCCCAGTGCTGTATCTGGTGTTTGCTACAACGCGCTATTATCCAAGTCGTCTTGTAAACATTCTTCTTCCAAATGTTGGCTACATATTACGGGTTTTTTCTCTGGCCAGAAGTTCGATGGCAAATCCTCCCTCTTCAAGTTGGCGATCCAACGACCAACCCGTCCGTGGAGGATCAGGAATCAGAAAGGTGGAATAACTCTTTTTTTTCACTTTTACCCGATGTATTCCAAAATCTAGCTGCCATGCACGTGGGCATTGTCAGTTTCACTATAGCTCTGGTGAATTTCAATGGTGAAGTCCTCTGGAAATCTTCAATAATTGTTGTTGATTGCAGATGTGTCTAGTAGTTCCCATTGATTTAGCTTGTATAGCGGGGAGAATGGCGCTAGGCTTACCGCACCGTGACGTCACTGACGGAAGATGGCAGGAGGGAGGGGTTAAGCCTGGTTTATACTCATAAACCAGGTCGTCTGCATGTGTTGCAGTTAACGCAGATATACCCCCTCTGCTGCACCTCTCCAAAATTGTAGGTGATCGCAGACAGGAGGCCTCTGATTGGTCAAATCTACATCCGCTCTACTCTATGCGTATTTCCTGGTTGGAACCTTATTGGCTTGTTTTGTTAGTATGACCGCCATTGTGGAAAACGACTGGTGAAGATGGACCAGCTAGAAGAGCGAGGTGCGTAACAATGCTGGGACCAGTACAGGTGGTTCGTGATGTGGCGTGGAATTACATAGCGCAGACCACGCTTCAATATTGGGCATAAATGAAAAATATCTGCGACAAGCTCACTGCGATAAACTGCTGCGGGAGGATAACCAGACTCAGTGATTGTGACGAAAATGATGGACTAACACTAAATTCATTAAATAACATCATTAAATGAGTTTTCCTTTAAAAAAAAGTTGTTGAATCGCTGTAGTGTGGGGTTTATTATAGAAGAAAAGAAAGCTTGTCTTCTTTTCCCGCCAAAAAGTAGGCTAAGTTAAAAAAATTTTTTAAAAAAGGACACCTTCCTCTCCCTGAATTCAGATCGCAAAAATATTAGATTTTTATTTATTTATTTATTTTTTTAAGAACAGATAATTTGTTAGAATAAGCTAGTGTTAAAGATTTAATTTGCCTGTGTTGTTTTATTGATAATTGGATAAGCTACCAACTTCTCTTGGCTAGCTATTAGCCAAATTAAAGGCAGAGTTACGTCTCATCAGCTTTCTTCTTCATGTAGACTTTTTTTTTCTCTATGTTGTTTCCTATTATGTGAAATTAGTTTAACCCTGTATAAAAACATTGTTTTAGAGTAATACTCACTCCAGGTCCAGCGTTTTGGCTGGTCCCGCCATTGACCCTGTAGTGGAGCTGGGAGTTGCCCTGCAGGTGGACATCCATGATGAAGAGGGGTCAAAGGTCAGCTGGCATTTGGTCTTCTTGTGGTTCTTTGCGTGTCTTTAGGACGAAACCAGAATCGTTTTCTTTTTGTTCTAAATGATCATCTAATCTCGTCTGGGCAATTCTGTAGGCAAAGAAGAAGGAAAAAGATATAAGGTTAGCATACATGTAGGAAACAGTGTGTAGATACTATTCTTGTTTTAGTACCCCTTTAAATATATATATTGTATGAAATAGTGTTCCATCAAACTGGTCCTATAGTCACTCTATTACAGATGGAGTAATGTAACTAAAGTAATCCCTCCCTGGGATTATTAAAGTATTTCTGATTCCTGGTTGATGGGACAGGTGTTGTGAATGAAACGGTGTCCAGCTTGAAAGAGCTCCTGTGTGTCTCTGAATGTGAGCATTGATGAGTGAAAGACATCTTCTGCCTCCATTTATGTGTTTACTACAGTCTGTTGAATTCATGTTAATGTGGATTTAAGGACATTTTAATTAGTGGGAAAAAAATGCAGGAGGGAATATAAAGAAAGTCTGATAAACCAAAACTTAAGACCTTCGTTTTAATGTATATTAAGATTAATAACTTGCCACAGAAAGCAAACTTTACTCAATAGAGATTTGGTTTAAGTTTTAAGCTGAAATTTTCTATCATGACATTTTCTACTTCTACATTTAAAAAATATCTTTAATCAGAGTTTTAATTTGTATTTTTAGAAGCATAAATAATATCTGTAGATAATTTCAAAGTTTGATTGTGTGGCAGTAAAGTAGAAGATCAAAGCGTTGAACGACATCATCTAAGAAATATCTCCTCTTTTGGATCTGCAGGGAGTAAAAGCTTTGAACCTTCAGGTTTAATCTTTAACAGCAAACAGCCGTTTATAAGCTTATCTCTGAAAGTTAAATCCGTATCAATCTCTGTTACATAATTGCGCAAAGTGCAGCTTTTCAGTTGGAAATACTTAAAAGGTTTGATGAGTCTTTGTTTGATGTTTCCTGTTTAGCATCCCACCACTGAGGCACACCTGATGGACCAGTTAACCCACAACAGACAGCTGCAGAACAGGCTTCTAATGGGGCCGAAACCAGCAGCTTCCTCTGAGACATTCCTCTCTGTCCTTCAGGGAAAGTTCCGGAGAAACCAAATAGTTTCACCCTCAGGTTTGATGGCAAAGTCAAGTAAGAATAAAAATAGTTAAAAAGAAAAACAGATAAGCTGGTTTTAATCAGTGTTTTTTCTATAGTTTGGTTGGTTTTATGGTTCTAAGTACTTTTAAAATCTCAACCAAATCACAAATCTTAAAGCAACAACTTTTTCAAGAAAAACTGAATCATTTTAATCAATTTATAGGAAAGCTGATAACCTGAACTTCCATTTGGCTTCAACACTTTAGGTTTTAAAAGTTTAATATCTCACTTATTGTCACTTTTTGGGACAAACAGTATAAAACATTAACTGTGCCTTTTATTTAAAAGATGTAAACAGAGATAGTTGTGTTTTGAGAATATTCCTCATATGTTTAGGAAAATCTACTTTGCTTTAAAACATTTTAGGCAGAGTTACAGTTTCTTAGCTTGAAGAGTATTTTGTCCTTTCACTGCATCATAACAGCAACAATGCAAGTAAAAATAAATCAGTAATCAAATACCTGCTGTTTTTAGGAATAAACTTTAAAATGTTTTTTGGAAAAATTACCTTTCTCCAGTGCAAAGTATTTAAAGACTCACCTCAAAGCTCCACAGATCTGTCATGTTAAAAGCAGCTGCTGAGACGTGGATCACATTAGTGGATCTTATTGCCCTCTGAGTTCCCTCTCCAGCTGAGCACACATCTTAAACCACAGAGGACTCCACCCACAGGAGGGTGTGTGTGTGTGTGTGTGTGTGTGTGTGTGTGTGTGTGTGTGTGTGTGTGTGTGTGTGTGTGTGTGTGTGTGTGTGTGTGTGTGTGTTGTTTCGTTCAGGTGTTCTTGGGAGGTGACTGTGACACAGTGGAAAGTTATTCCAGGCACTATTGAGTTTTCCTGGGATGGGTTCAGAGGCAGTCGGACTTTTGAGTTTTGCCCTAAATGAAACCAAAACACAAGAATTCCTTCCTTTCAAATCTTAGAAACAAAGCTGCAGACGAAGAACAGTTTGACTCACTTTGTTTTTGTTTATTTCTAAGAAGCTGTCATCACAACAAAACATTTAGACCGTCTATTTTATACTTTCAATCCTAAAACTATTCAGTATTAGTAAATAATGATTTAGAAATACTTTCATTAAAGCATTTTCTTCCAATGGAAATGAATCAGTCATCTCACAAATACTAATAATAAAACAGTGTTAAAGTATTAAATAATCATTTAAAACATGTAAAAATCAGAGCAATCACCTCCTTATTATATTGGCAGTAATCAGAGGAATCAAACTTACTTCCAGACTGAAAAAAACATCTTTAAACCATAAAGTTAAACCTAAATTTTCCAGGGGAATGATTCATAGTTTTCTTGCCAATGTATTATTCATATGTTTGTGATTCAATTATATAGTTGTTCTCTGCGCCCTTATTGCTGATGAAGAGTGACTTTATGTAAAAATATATACAAGAGTCTGAGCTAAATAGTGTGTAGATGAAAACTATGACAAAATGATATGTTCATTAATTATTATATATAAAAATTATTTCTTTTTTTAGGCATTTGCACATTTTTCCTCTGTTATTAGAATTTGGAGACATGTGAAATGTTATATTCTTCTTATTTTAAAAATCTTGTTTCTAGGCACATTTGCATTTCCACTCCTGGACTGAGTTTTTACTTTTTCTGGGTGGAATGAAGCTGTTTCTCCCTCTGCTTCACGTGGTGCTTTTGTTTTACGCTTATTGAATTTTAAAGATCAATTCTAATGTCATCTATAAACATAATGAACTCATCCTTAACCCCAATCAGTGCCTCATCCCAGCTTAATAAAATAAACAAAGCTCAGAGTTCAAACTATATTTCATCCCACAAATAACTTCTGCCTCATTATTTTCATGGATGTCCTCCTCTGCCTACACAAACTTCACCCTACAGATGTTCAGTTCTTTAATCCTAAATATAAAACTTAAATAATAAAGAAAAATAAATAAAAGTAAAATGTTATCTTTAAAGACAGCTCTGATGTAAATCTAGAAGGTTTGCAGAGGAGAGGAAACAGCAGATTGAGGAGACTATGCATCATCTGTTTGGATTTACTGCCCTCTGCTGGCTAAAAATAATATAACACAAAAAGGACATAATCAAACCCACGTTTTGTGCAAAATTCCTGAGACATGATATATGTATAATATTAACTGCAGATTCTCTGATACATGATGGAATTTTCACTCAAATAAAATACTGCTAATATTTTGACTATTTTATTTTCAAATCACTGGTCCAAAACTTTTATGCTGAATCCTGTTCAAAACCCAATATTTAATTCTGTCTTATTTAGACTATTTCCTAAAATAACAGTAAACACACTTACAATTATTTTTTTTCTGCACATTACTAGGCTACTTTATTTATTCAGTCAGTTAATGGATTAATAAAAATCTGCATGCAGGCTAAACTGCAACCAAACAGTAAATCAGTCTCTGCTGGTTGGATCAGATCAAATTAAAATGAAGTCTCAGTCTGCTGGTTATAAAATTTGCTTTTTGAAAATAAGACTTCCCTCATAAGTAGATCATCAAGCAAATAAAAATTAATATGATATAATAAAAAAATAATTAAATGCATTTATTAATAATAATATTATTATTATTGAATAAAATTATTCTCATTAAATTATTAATACTATAAAAATAGGAATTTAAATGTAAAATGAATGCATTTGTTTAATTTTCCTTCAGGATTAATGAATATCTTTTTAACTACATATATATATATATATATAAGTATTTTTGATCAACAGAAAAAATTTACGATTATTATTTTTTATAATATATGTACACCTGTTTTGGTTTTAACTGTTAAGGAAAAGTTCAAGATATTCAATATTAAATTTTTATTGATAGATCGGTGACCCTTTTGAACATCAAGGCGTTTGCGCTTTTTTTCCAGGAACACAGGAGAGCAGTGAACCAGACCGCCACCTGAGGCTCTATTTTCCCAGGCGTCTCTGAACGCATCCTCAGCCCGTCAGGCTCTGCGTCAACAGCCGCTCCGCCGTGTTTGTTTATTTGTTTGTTTTTTTCGGGTTGTTCCGGTAGGTTACCGAGAGCCAGAGCCGCCGGCGGATGTCCTCACGGTGAGTCTGCGGCTGTCTTTAACGGTTACCGCTGCTTTGCTGTCATTAGCCGGGTTAGCTGAATATGCAGCCCGCTAGCTCGCTAATAAATGCGGCTAGTAAAGGAAGGCGTCGCTTCTCCTCAAAATAAAGTGAACCAAAATCTATGTGGCTATTTCTACAGCTCGCCTGTAGTGGACAGATTCGGCTTTCAGGCGCGTTTGGTCTGTGTTTGATGTCAGGTTGCAGCGGTTAGCTCTTTTTACTCCAGCCGTTAATCGCCTGTTAGCTCTAAACGACGCTGAAGTTAGCCTGTGATTCAGAGCGTATCTGCAGATTTTGGTCCAAATCCAACCTTATAGAATCCGTTAAACTTTACTGTAATTATTCTACGCTGATCAAGTATGTGTTTAAATGCAGTGGACCATCTGTGAAAGCTCTATCTGTTGGGTTCATTCGGTGCTGCATTTATCTCTTTAAATCGAGGGTCAGCTTCTAAAGTATGTTTAGAAAACTTAAATATAAATGTATTTTAATTGCTTTTAATTTTTCTAATTTTCACTAGAGTAGTTATTATTGGATAGTAGGTGTGTTTCAGAGTTGTTGTATAAAAGGTGAAATGGCCCTTTAACTGTGTGCCGAATCAGAAGCTAACTTCAGAGCTCAGCTGCTAGCAGCTGTTAGCCTCTGTGCTAGCTGCCCCCTGAAGCAGGTGAGCTTCTGCTGGTAAACTCCATCTGTCTGGGATGGAACAACCAGAGCAGAGCTCTTGGATGAAAGATGCTTTTTGCCTGAGCGTAGAGTTATGCTCGGTCCAGATGTGAACCCATCAGAACCTCCTCAAACTGCTGGATTGACTTAAGATGCATTGATATATTCAGGTAAAGTCCAAACCTCTGAGATGATGCTGTGTGCATTTGGAGAATAAATCCCAAAGCCTTATTTATGATCGATTAGCATCATAATAACCAAGAAACACGCCACAGTTCAGGGGATTTGAGGTTTAAAGCAGAACTAGCTTCAGCTTCATGGGGCCCCATAAATCTCTATTGCCATGTATAGTTAATACAACTATTCCTTATTTGTGCACAATAATTATGTTTTTTTATGAATATATTTTTGCTAAAAAGCCATCAGAATGCTGATAATATTGAGTGTGTCTCAGCCCCCCCCTCAGTGTCCACCATATTGGATCAGTCCATTTGCTGCACATGTTCAGAAAGGTCCAAACAGACAGCAGCAAACCATTTGAAAACAAACCATGCAAAGAGCAGTGTTGCCAACTTAGCGCTTTAGTCGCTATATTTAGCCACTTTTCAGACCCCTCTAGCACTTTGATTTCTAAAAAGCTCCTAGCGCCAAATCTAGAGACTTTTTTCTGCTACTGGAGACTTTGGAGACAACATCTAAAAGCAGCGAACTCTGCTCTCCAGAGCGAGTAGATTGGTAACCCCGCCTCCTGCTCTCCTCTATCTTGTCTGCTGTCATGATTCATGCAGCTATTATTTCATCCAAATGAAAAATGGAGAACAGATAAGCAGATCATGGCTTGTCTACAGTGAAAAGAAGGACTGGGTTATTTACTTTGGCCTTTTTGGAAACACAGGAAGGAGCAATCAGCTAAGTGAGCTTAGTGCTTGGAAAAAATCTGTCATTCCTTTAGAGACAGCATGAAAAGTCAGCTGAGTACAAAACATAGAGAGGAAAACAAGAAGAAAAGGGACAAGAAGAGAGGGACACAACCTAGAACAGATAATGGATGTCTATTCTATTAACGTTTCTCTATCTGGAGAATGGGTCTGTTCTATGTGTTCTTCTCCATTCAGAGGGCCCCTGCCTGTCTTAGCCTAGGGCCCCAAATTTCCTACATCCGTCCCTGCCTGAATGCACCATCCACAGGGTATACATGGTGGTGGCAGCATCATACTAAGGGGAAACCTTTCCTCTGTGGGGACAGGATAACTAACCAGATACAATAGATGGTTTAGATTAAAGCCTGCTGATGTGTTAGAATGGCCTAGTCAAAGCACAGACGTGAATCCAATGTATTGGTGGAACTTTAACTTTGATGCTCCCAGATTCTTTAAACTCCATATCTGACTGAGTTTTGGGTGCATTGGAGAGGAAAAGAGCAGATATTTCAACATATAACGGTACAAAGCTGTACAGACAGAAGTCCTGCAGGTTTAATTGGTAGAAAGGTGGTTCTACAAATGATAAATCAGGTGATCTAACTGCGCCGTGATGCCAGATCCAAACGGATCATTTGCTCCTCATGTTCAGCAGTGGTTCTCCAGTAACAGTTTCTGCTTCTGGACCCAGATGTTTGCAGATCTTTCAGTTAGGATTTATTTTCTGTTGCTTGAAGGACACGATGTTCCCTCGCTGCCTTCGGCTGTTTTCTGGTCATCATTCTGTGGTCAACTGATGGACGTAAAGGAAAAGCTGTCGGTGTCTCAGTGCAGGTTTAGATGAGCGATGAAAACATGCAGTCGACCTGTTATGGCGAAGGCAGGAGCCGCGTGCAGAGAAATGGGATGAGTGCGCGGCGGGCGGCCTGAGTAACTGGATCTGTGATCCGCATCCTTCAGCGCTTCGGGTTACCGCAGGCTTTCCAGGACCGGTTTCCATGGAGACCGGCCAGAGGGAGATCAGCAGTCTGCTGTGAGGCAGGTGGTGTTTCACCTGGTGGATCAGCGTCATGGATGCTGATGGATCCCTGAGTCTCTGTGTTTATGGAGGGTTTAGCATCAGAGCTGCTTTAGGGAAACTTCCCTCATCCAGGAACTTTGTTTGATTTGGGAAAATATAAAGTTTTTTTTTTTTTTTTAACCCTTACAGTTGGTCAGATATAACAAATTCAAACCATACATGATGATGTAATAAGAATTAAAAACAATACTCATTATTATAAAAAAGAAGATGCAGTTTCCGCTCATATCTATATTGCTAAATTATCCTCAAATAGTTAAAAATTTAAAATAGTTTTCCTATTTTATTTAATTGCTGTCAAATCTGATTTTAAAAACCAAATGTATTTAATTTAGTAGATTTTTAATAAATGTAAGAAATAGTTTAAATATAAAATATTTATAAGAAGATTGTAACACAATATTATACTTTAAAACATGATGTTATTGTAGCTAAAGTTTCAGCACTAAATGACTCTTTTCTAAAAATAAATAATTAATAATAAAATTAATTGCATTGTGATCTTTGTAGCGGGGTTATTTCGAGCAGACCTGAGGAGGGATTAGCTAAAGAACTTTTTTATTTTTTATTTTTATTGTGAATCAACTGTCACAAGTACAGAGCAATGAAATGAACTCTCTGCATTTAACCCCTCCCCTTGGGGAGCAGTGGGCTGCCATTGCGCGGCCCCCGGGGAGCAATCAGGGGTTAAGGGTCTTGCTCAGGGACCCAGAGTGGCAGATCAGAAAAATGCAGAATATTTGAAGCATTTCTGAAATGAATTTTTTCTTTTCTTTCAGTCGGTTTGTTTTTTGTCTGAATCTGCTGCAGGCATGAAACCCTCAATGTTTTCACGAGTCGAAGTGAGCGGTTCCACTCCCAGCTGACGCGTTGCCCAATAACTGGGTGTGACTTTGTGTTCCTGTCACATAGCTTAGCCTTTGTTTACATGCAGGGACACTCCCACTCTGTACATGCAGACAGTCGGCTCCAGGTCCATCAGGCGGGACCGGTGTGGAGAACCCGCCGGTCCCAAAATAGAGCGGCTGTCACTCCGGTTTCCACTTCCTGTCTGCGTTTCTGCTGGAGTTCGACCTTTGCAGTGAAACTGGTTTTCGGTTATAAACATTTTTGGAGACAATTGTTTTATTTTCCCTTTTCCATCCCCACTCCTTCCCTAAAACAGTTTTACTGCCTGAGCGACAATAGATCCCTTGTTAGACCTCCTCCAATCATCAAGCTGTGGATTTATTATAGATCTTATTACAGGGTGATAAATCTGACCTTCACCCTGAATACAAACAAAAAGAAACAACATACCGATCATGGTTTCCAGATTAGCTCCATGTGATTGTGAGTTTCACCAGATGATTCAGAGGAAGGTCCAGTTGGTCTGAGCTGGTTCTTCTGGGCGACTCTGGACACGTTTGCTGGAAGGAGTCCAAACGCCAGGATCCTAAACAGGAAGACTTTGTCATGATGAATAAGCAAACTTAAAAGTTAAAACCTTTAACCTACTGGTCAGTTTTTTTTTTTTTTTTTCTGATGCTCACCTGTGGAGAGAAGATCAGATCCTGGATTCAAGCATCTGACCACCTCTACAGCTGAGCTGTTGATGAGCAGTGGAGCGTGGTCAGGCCGCTTCTTCCTGAAGTCCACCATGATCTCCTTGGTCTTCTCCACCTTCAGGATCAGGCTGTTATCTCTGCTCCACCAGCTGCTCCACCTCCTCTCTGTAGTCCAGGTCGTCGTCGTCTCTGATGAGGCCCACCACCGTGGTGTCGTCTGCAAACTGCACCATGTGATCGGTGGTGAACCTGGGGACGCAGTCGTGCGTCATCAGGGTGAACAGCAGGGGGCTCAGGACGCAGCCCTGAGGGGAGGGGCTTAGACTGATGACATCAGAGGCGTTCTGACTGAGGTCTGTTGGTGTATTGAATCCCAGCTGTTCCAGTTTGCCCATCAGATGCTGTGGGATGATGGTGCTGAAAGCTGAACTGAAGTCCAGGAACAGCATCCATCGTGGGTGTTCTTCTCCTCCAGGTGTGCCAGGCTCAGGTGGAGAGCAGCAGAGATGGCGTCCTCAGTGGAGCGGTTCCGTCGGTAGGCCAACTGGAACGGGTGGAATGTTGGCGGCAGACTGGAGACGATGTGTTCTTTAACCAGCCTTTGGAAGCACTTCATCATGATGGGAGTCAGAGCGACAGGCTGCTAATCATTGAGGGAGGCGACCTGAGGCTTCTGGAATAATGGAGGCAGACTGGAAGCATGCTGGCACTATGGATTGGTCCAGCCAGGTGTTAAAGATGTCTGTGAGTCTGTGCACACTCCTTATACACCTGCCCAGGTATGTTATCAGGGCCTTTGTTGGGTTGACTCTCCTCAGAGTTTTCCTCCTTTCAGCTACGTCCAGGTGAGGAACAGCTTTCACTGCTGGAGGCTGTTTAGTGCCTCAAACCTTCCAAAGAAGTTGTTCGCTTCATTCAGGAAGTCAGTGTTTGCTGCATCTACCTGGAGAGGAAGTGTGATCGTCCATATGCCTTCCCACATCCTCCTGGTGTTGCTGGCGTCGTGCAAAAGATCCTGGATCTTCGGCTGTGGTTCTGCTTCGCTGATCTGATGACAGAGTTCAGGTTTTGTCCTCAGTGCCTCTCCATCACCACGCTTGAAAGCTGAGTTCCGTGCTTTTTTTTTTTTGCCCCGGCGGTGATGTTCTGTGTGGAAGAACATCTGGATCTGTCTCCTGTTCTTGGTTTCTGATTCCTCCATCCAATGGAAGAAAGGACAAAACTTTGTCATTTTTTATTTCTAAGAATCTTACCACCTTTTATTTTCCTGCAGGAATGACCTAAAAAATCCCCAAACCGCGGCAATGATTCTTGATTAGCTGCAGACATGCTGCACATAAAATGTGTGGAGTTAGGAAGGCTGGAACGGCAGAGTCGATCCAAATATTTGTTCAGACAGCTGAAGCATGCAGCTCAGGCTGCACCACAGACTCCATTAATCACATGATTCAGCAGAAACCCAGCAGAGAGCTGCTTCTCACTATGATCTTACTCCTGTTGTTTTTTTTCCTCTATCAAACTGCCTCCTTTGAAAGATTTTGGGCTGAATATCTAAAAAAATCTGAACCCATCTCTGTCCAGGTTGTCCATCGAGTCTTTAACTGAAAGTCACGACTCAGCACATCTGCAAATGAGCTATGCTTGTGATGGACGACCACTTAATGTTGGCGCTCTGAGCTTTAAACGCTCGCGGGAGACAGACCGGAGCCTGTCTGCGGCTTTAGGATTAGGAATCACCATGTTTCTATCTGATTCACCTGGAAAAAGGCATCATAGATCATGAGATATAAGATGTAATTAATGTTTTTCCTCTGTGTGTCTTTCAGGTGAAGGATTGTTGTTTCGCTCAGCTGGAACCAGAGCCTGTCGGCTTCTCCATCCACAGCTGAACTATGGTACCATCAGCACCACAGGAACATACGCGTCCTTTAAATTTCACCCATGTGTCGTCAGTAGATGAAGTCTTCCTCCAGTTATAAACGATCTGTCTCTGTTCTTTCCATCCAGTGTGTTCAGTCAGGGTTTTATTCCCGTTTCCACGTCTACAGCCGGACCAGTGTTAACATTTCTGCTATAAATTACTGCTAAAAATCTCACTGGTCAATGATAGAAGGTTAACTTCCTGGTTTTACCCTGATAGAAAGAGGCAGAGCATCAGCTGTACGATCATAAAGGATCCAGGGGAAGTTAACCACCTCCGTAGCTCAGGCCTCAGCAGACAAACTGTGGAAAATCTCAGGATCTGCTCTTTGGTTTTTGTTTTGCTTCCAAACAGCCAGACTTCCCTGTAACCTTTCAAAATGATCCGGAAAACTTGTTCTGCAGGATTTCCAATCAGATCAGGAAGCGGAAAATAGTCCCAACATTTCGTCTTTTAGCATTTATGTCGTTTTGGTCTTATTCTTAATGTTTTGACTGAAAATAATTTAATCCTAAACGCATGGATAGATGAACATCGTCCTTACTCTAAAGATGCTCATTGAATGTCTCGCTAAGCTAAATATTATAACTGGACAAGCTTTGTTGATTTCCTGCCTCCTGTGATTCATCATGGTGAACTTTGTAAAGCAGATAATATAACTGATAACCAGACTTTAGCCTCGGTTCATTCTAATGTCTGCCGTCTGCAGAGCGGATGATGTCTGAGAGCAGCTGCTATGGCCAGCAGTGGCGGTCAGAGCAATGCCGAGACGCTCGAGGGCTTCCATGAGGTCAACCTGGCCTCGCCCACCACGCCTGACCTACAGGTAGGAGGAGCTCTCAGCACGCTCTGCCTCACAACCAGTTTAACTTTTTCTTTTTTTCTTTTTTTAATTTATTTCTTTTTTTTTTTTTTATTATCATAATTTTGTTTTTTATTTTATTTTATTATTTTTTTATTAATTAATTAATTTTATTTTATTTATTTATTTATTTTTTTATTATTCTTTAGTTTTTAAATTTTTTTTTTATTTTTTTATTTATTTAAATTTTTAGATTTTTTATTTTATTTATTTATTTTTATTTATTCATTTTTTATTTTATTTTATTTTATTTTATTATTTTTTTTTTTTTTTTTTTTTTCTGCTTTGTCGTAGATTAATTGGATTCCTCATCGGGGGTAGCTGTGATCTGTTGTGATTTCAGACAGTTTGCTCTTCTTGGCTCTGATGACATATTAAAGGTTTTTGTTTTTAATGGCAAATTTTGTATCCAGAGCTACATGATATTAGGTTAATGCAACATTTCAACACTATCACACATAAAAAATTTTCAGATTAATGTTGGGATTTATTGCACTTTAGCGCTGCACAATGTTAGAAATGTTTTTCATGTTTCCTCATTTGTGTTTGCTAAACTCTAAAAGCATTTTGAACTAGAGATGCATGATATATATCGGTCACCTAAACTATCGGGCCGATTTGGGCTTATTTTCTATCGGCCCGATAGCCATATTTTACCGATAAAAATAGCCGATAATTTAATAAAAATGCGGAAACTGCGTTCAAGAGTAACGACTTTTATTTTGACGACACAAGCCATGACGCGCAGTGGCACGTCACATCCAATGCATGCAGCCAGTGAGGGGGGAAGTAGACAAACAGGCCTTCACCACTATGGTCGTTCTTCACAGTGGCAGAAAATGACAATGCTTTCGCTATATGCAACGCCTGTTCATTGCGGATTCCGAGAGGAGGAAAAAGGTCGTCAAGCTTTAACACAAGTAATCTTATATCTCACTTGAAAAGTCGGCACCGCGGCGAAGAGGTATTAAAAGAGTATGAGGCAGCGGCTGCAGCAGCTAGCACAAGCAGTGAAACCAATGCGGTAACTAAAGGAAGAAAATCCGATGTTACCATTCTGCAGTCTTTTGAAAAAAGTAGACCCTTTGCGAGAGACAGTGAAAAGACCAAAGCCATTAACGGCAAAATAATGGAGTTCATTGCACTCGGCGACCAGCCTTTCTCCGTGGTCGAAGAGCCATCTTTTCGTAGCCTGTTGGCACACTTGGAGCCACGCTACACTCTTCCATCCACAGCCTAATCGACCAGAACGGACTACACATAAGTTTCACAACAGAGTTTTGAAGAATTTAAGCATTTTATTTTTGAAACAGACTTAAATATTTACGTCCCTAAGGGATGTACGTTTTGTTAAAATTAAGAGGCACATTTTATGCTTATTGTTGTTAGAACTTTTGCTATATGTTTTATGATGGCATATGACCACATGTAATGACATGAAACAGTGACAAGATTGGGGAGTGGTTAGCATAGGACATGTTGAGAAGAGGAAATCATTTAAGTTGAAGTTGTAAGCATTTTTTTTATCTAAATGACTGAGTTTTGTTTTAATCCAGTCAAGCATTAATGGTTTTCAGAATGCACTTTACTTTATTACATACCTCCATAAGAGATGCACTTTTTTTGTTAAATTAAGATGCATGTTTGATGCATATCTGTGTCTTGCTACATGTTTTATAGCAGATTACCTTATTTTTTTGGTGAAATGAAAAGAAATAAACATTTGCAGTGTCACAAAGTTGTTGTTTTTTGTTATAGATAGGTCAAATCAGCTAATTCATCAGTTATCTATACTGCACAAAGTAGATTATATCATTATATTATGTTAATGTTGTGTTAATAAGAAAATTAAATTAAATTTTAACATATCGGTATCAGTATCGGTATCGGCCCTGAGAAGCAGGAAATTATCGGTATCGGTTGAAATTTTTTATATCGTGCATCACTATTTTGAACAGTTTGGTTTCCGTCCAGTTTGAGCCTTTGCTGCCGTGAGAAGTTGTCCAACTTTCTAATTATTCATATATGTGATGATTAGGGCTGAAACAATCAGATTAATCGATTATTGAAATAGTCGTTAATTAATTTAGTAATTGATGAATCATTAACTGGAGTTTAGAGACTCTTAAAAATGCCTTTAGCTGAAAGAGAGACTCACTTAGACCAGCAATTTACCAAGATTGTAAAAAAATATATAAATGTTTTGCATTTAATCTGCTCTATCCAAACCTCCTCAAATGGAAGCGTTTGAGTTTCACCTGGTTTATTCTAGTAAAACATTTGAACCCTAACCCTGCATGTTTAGGTGGATTGCAGCTAACTTTCTGTCTTTGTTCCAACTCTACTTTTGTCCTGATTATGGGAAGTATGTGTGCTTGATTAGAGGTGGAAATCTTATAAGGAAGACATGAGATTATTTTTTAAGCTACATTATTACGTTTCATAGGTTAATTCAAACAATCAGAAAGTCTAATGCTACGTTCACACCGTGATTTGAGCAGCAAAGAAGCATCAGCTGCTCCATTTTTGATGCTTGTACACAAGTCAGATGCGTCTGATGCTTCTGCTGCTCCTGTGTTCAACGCCAGAGAGCAGCTTTGCTATATTAGCTGTGATCAGCGGGTAGAAAGTAGTTAGAATCTATGTTGAAGTGAGAAAGTCCTCCTGAAAACATGGTCTGTGCAGTCAGTTCATCCAGATTACCATCCTGCCTTCAAAGATTATTTCTCTGTGGGAGCCGCTCAGACCCCCACATACCGGCGCTGCGCTGTCACTGGGAATCCCCAGCAGCAGCTGCCTCAGGCCCACTCGCCTCTTGGGGGTTTTCCCCTCCTGTTGGTGGCGGCTGGAAGTAGATGTTAGCGTTTTTCAGGTCTGTGGTATCCTGATAAACCAGACTAAATGTGAGATTAAATGTGTAATTTAGTCTGGCCTCGATCAATGAGACATTGGAAGATTGTTGAGGAGGAAAACATGTCTGTGCCTATTGGCCAACACTCTGACCAATAAACGCAACTGACTGTGACGTAGTAAGCGCGACAGAAAGCTGGTGGAGGAGTGTAAACAAACAGCCAGTTGGTAAAAAGCTGAATACGTCCTTCTTAAAAAAGAATGAGCATAGAGCCTCTTCCTGCTCATCTTTCTAAAGGATTGAGTCAAACCAGAACTGTTCAATAGTTGTTGCCATCTTCCTTGTTGTGCTTTCTCCAAAGTCGCGCAGCTTTGTCATCCCGCACTCAAACCCCGCCCACTTTGGATCCAAAAATTCAAAACACATCCCTGCATTGTGATTGGTCCGCCAGTTTTAGGGCCTGGGACATAGATCGAGGCTTGACCACCCGCAGGCAAGAAATCATTTTGGCTGCTGGTGGGTGGGGCTACTTTACTAGGCAAGGTCTGTGCTACCAACTGCAGGCAGCAGGATAATAAAAGCCAACATATTCTGCCGGCAGGTTTCTACATTTGAAGTTAATTTAGGCGTTAATAAACGGTTTCAGAGGAGTGATCATAGCGCTCTGCATCAGCAGTGCTGCGTCTGACTCCCTGCCAGCTCCCAGATCAGCTTCTCTCATTGGTTGATGTGGCGTATCGGGCAGCAAAAGTTACATTTTCCCAACTCCAGCAACTGCTGGTTGTGAAGCGCGTTGCTCAGAAGCTCATGAGGCGCTGCTTCACCTGCTCAGATGCGTCAAAATGCGCGACTCTTGCAGCTACAGACGTGCTGCTGGACCTTTTGATCCGCCTTGATGCGCATAAATCATAGACTTTCAATGTAAACTGCCTGCTTCTGCTGATCAAGGCGCATGCAGTGTGAACGTAGCATAAGGGACAAAAAGTATCTTAAAAATGCTAATATTTGCCAGCAGATGGCGCCAGAGAAAAAGTTAAACGATACAATTGTCATTAAATAGATTGAAACAACCAGAAATAACAGATAATACAGATCAGATCAGCTTCTGATTGGTTGATTTGGTGTGTCGAGCAAAAAAAATAAATTCTATTTTTCCTACTCCAGCATCTACTGCTTGTGCTTCCAGGGGAAAATTAGGGCGAACTAAAGCCGTACTTCCCAAAAGCAAGGCATACAATTTGTCATTGTTTTAGTAAAGGCATACAGTGTACGCCCGCACACATTGCTAGCCAAAAGCCCTCTGCTTTCTTTACTTGGAGAACGTCAAAGCTTTTTTTGTGTTTGTGCCGTCTTATTTTTTCTTTTGGCTTAAAAAAACAATCAATCTAAAGCAGAGAGGAAGCTATTCCTGAGCTCCATGACGGAGCAACAAGGATCTAGCAACACCTGAGCTCCATCTCCTCTGACTCCTATTGGTGCAGATAATTTTCTGCTGATGTCAACATCATAACAGGAAGTAAATATTCCTGGACCTGTAGTATTATTACTCGTATAAATAATATTTAATTCTGTACCACTTCAGACTTTCTGTGGAAGTTATTGATTGAAAAATAATTGTTTTGATGAAAAAGTTGTATAGTGATGGTGTTTTATAATATTTATAATCCTGCTTTCTGCTTGTGATTTGAACAGTCAAAATAACAGACTTTCACCACGTTGACTCTCATTGCGTCTCCTTTTAGATTCAATGACTGCTGACATTTTTGTGTGTGTTTGCACCCGACTTTTCAAAATGCGCTAAATATAAACATTTAAATTCTTCTCATCACATAGTGGCTGGTAGGTACATTTTCATGTCGTCCTCCCAGTTTTTTGCATGTTCTGCTGATCAGCATACACTCATGAAGCGCCTGCTGTTCACTCATTATTCAGACCAGCTGTTGTAGATCAGGTTTTTACGTGTTTGTTCTTCACACAAACCTTTAATGGATCTGGACAAAAGGTGACGTTTTTTCTCTATTATGGCGTTCAGGTTTCATTCAGTGACTAAAATTAGCTTCTCTGCAGCCGCAGCGCTAAACCAGGACAGTAAATAAGTTCTGCTTTTCTACGTAAAGCTTTATTGACGAAATCATGTTTACTTACAGAACCAAACGGAGCAGCACCCTCCATCCCGCCACAGCACCCCGCCCACCTCCCTGTACCGCACCCACTCACTGGGACCGCCTCCTGCTGGCCTCCCCAAGTCCCTCCGTGCCGATCAGCTCCCCACGCAGCCAGTGTACTCCACGCCGCGGCACAGCCACAATGGAAGGTAGAAAAGCCAAAACCAAACAAAGCCTTTTATTGTTATGATTGTTTTCATCTCTGATCAGAAATCCTCTCCTGTCGCCCGCAGCGTGCCGGGCCTGGAGGCAGAGCCGGCGGAGGGAGGCTTCCTGTACGGGGAGGACGTGGATGAGTGCAGCGCGCTGAGCGAGAGCCTGTCGCGGCTGCGCAGCCCGTCGGTGATGGAGGTCCGAGAAAAAGGATGCGAGAGGCTGAAAGAGGAGCTGGCGAAGGCTCAGAGAGTACGACACCCAAACACAGACACCTCTGTGACATCCTGACTGTAACGCAGAGGAATTCATCCCTTTGCATCAAAATATCAGCTTTAAACTCCTGTTAAAGTTTTAGAGTGAAAAATACACATTTTATTTTATTTCATTCCATATTTTATATGGTTTTAATTTTCATTTCATCTCCAGTTCTTGTTTTTGCCATGCGGTTATTTTGATCTCCATGCATTCATGTTTTTTTGTTTGTTTTTTGTTTTCTGTTGTTTTCTGTTCATTTACATGCATGTGTGTGCAAGGAGCTGCTGTTGAAGGATGAGGAGTGTGAGAGGTTGTCTAAAGTCAGAGACCAGCTCGGCCAGGAGCTGGAGGAGCTCACCGCCAGTCTCTTCCAGGTCGGTCCCCCTCTCCTTCCTCCATCCTGTCCTCCTCCTTCTCCTCTACCTCCTGTTCTCCTCATCCAGCAGCCAGACAGAGACTGGACTAAAGGAGACATGGCATTTCTTCCTTCCACCTCCTTTTCCTCTCGTGTTTCCTCACACAAGGTGTTGGGATTCTGTGTTTGTCTGCTTTTGTTTTAGATCCAGCTTTCATCGTCGTTCGCTGCAGCCTAAAACTATATAAACCTCTAAAAACCTCAGCCGTTCGTGTTTTCCAGGAGGCGCATAAGATGGTGAGAGAAGCAAACGTCAAACAGGCGAATGCTGAGAAGCAGCTGAAGGAAGCTCTGGGGAAGGTGATTCTCTCATTGTAGTGACTCTTACTGACAGAAATCAGCTGTTAAACTTTTCACCAGGTGGTTTTTTTTTTCCGTTTTAATGAATCTGAGGCTGTTCTTTCAAATGCTGAGCCTGAAAGATGCCAGGAGCTTAAAAGCGTCTCCGTCTTCCTCAGATCGACGTCCTGCAGGCGGAGGTCCAGGCCCTGAAGACGCTGGTGCTCTCCTCCCCCACTTCCCCCGTGGCTGAGCTCCCGTCTGCCGTAGGCGGCAAGACGCCCTTTAAGAAGGGCCACAGCCGGAACAAGAGCACCTCCTCCGCCATGCTGGGGACGCAGCCGGACCCGGCGGCCACGCAGCCCATCGTTAGGGAGTGCAGAGAGGTGGGAACGCGGCTCAGACCTCCGCTTCTACAGCGAAAAAGAAAAGCTGAAGCTTCTACCTGTTCTGTTTTTTACCGCTGAAGGTGGACAGTCAGCTGTTCAGTGAGTTCAAGGCTTGGAAGGAGGCGCCGACGCTCGACCGGAACTGCAGCTTCCTGGATAGAGTTTACCGGGAGGACATCAACCCCTGCCTCACCTTCAACAAGAGCGAGGTGCGCAGAGGAAACCAGCAGCTCCTCTCCTCCCATCCCTAGATTCAGAGATGCTGAACAAAACTCCACGACCAATCAGTTCATCGCTGCTCTGCTTTAGATGTTGTTCGTTTCACATCTGTTTTTAAATTTCTTTAAATCAATTTACATCTTGTGACCTACTTCCTGTTGTCATACAGGTTCTATTAACGCTGTGACTTGATTCTACAGATGTGGCAAAAATCAGCAGAGGTGTCAAAAGTTTTAATGTTTATTAATCAAGTAGAAATGTAAATCCTGCTGTTTAAAAACACTTTTATAGAAATTAGAGGATCAACTTAAGCTTTTTACTCCAGTAAAAGTGTAAAAGTACCACTTTTAAAACTACTTAAAGCAGAAAAGACTGTTATGGATAACTTCTTAAGATTTCATTTTCTTAGTTTTATAACTAATGGTAACAGAGTCAAATTTAACTTAGCATCATCTTGAAAAACTATTTATTTTTGTATGTGGTGAGCAACAAGTTGGGGCAGCACCGAGTCCAATCACAAAGAAATTAATAGTCTGGATGAAACTTATTTTGATGGTTTTCATTTTTATACCAACAGGCCATAACGAAAAAGAGCTTAAATGAAACAAAACTAACGAGTCTATTTTTAAAACGTGAGGAGAAAAGTTGTCTAACAAATATTTCCTCCATTAAAGTAAAGCCAAAATTTCTGATTTTTTTGTAATCAGAACCGCGTGTAGCTTATTAAATTGATGCAGGAAAAAGTTGTGAATCGCTGAAAGCTCATGGTTTAATGAGGCAGTTTATCCTTTTAATAAATAAAAAACATACACAACTACAGTCAGTCTGAAATATTTAAACTGTAAGGGACCAAATCCATTTTTTTATTTTATTTTTTCTGAGTCTTGGCGTCCAGCTTCCCAGTTTCAGTCTGGCTTCTCCTCCTGTCCTCCAGCTGGGTTCGGCCATCCTGGACGCCGTGGAGCAGAACACGCTCAGCGTGGAGCCGGTGGGCTTCCAGCCGCTGCCTGTGGTCAAAGCGTCGGCGGTGGAGTGCGGAGGACCAAAGTGAGAACACTTATTTACTCCCCCCTCCCTCCCCTCCCTTCATTGGGCTTTCACTCCATCATCACATCTCCATCTTCCCTTAATTTCCTCCTCCAGCGGGCGAAGCGCAGAGCTCGTCACGTAAGTCTGACTGCGTCCCGTCAAACTGTAACCCTCGCCCCGCCTGGCTCCTCCAAACGCTCCTCTAACTTCCTGCTTCACTTCCTTCTTCCTGATGTCCAGGTTTATCTCAGGGATCAGAGCAAACCTCTCCTCCTCTGTTTTCCATCCTCTCTCCTCAGTCTTTCTCCAATGTCTTCCGTTTGTCTTGGTTTGCAGATTCAGTTCATCTTCTGTTGAAAGAATGAAATTGTTTCTGTCTCTGATAGAAAATGCGCCCTGAGCGGTCAGACCAAAACCTGTAAGCACAGAATCAAGTTTGGAGACTCGTCCAACTACTACTACGTCTCTCCTTTCTGCAGATACAGAGTGAGTACTGCCCCCTGCAGGATAAATCCAGAAGCTGAGTTATATAGAGAAATATGCAAAACATTTATTGATATTAATGCTTAAAAAGAACAGTTTACTATTTACTGGGATTAAACACCAGAGCTTTGAACACAGCTGCTGGGAGGAAGGATCTGTGATTTAAAAAAAATAAAATAAAAAACAATCCACTGGACTTTATTTCCAAGTTTGAAGACGTTTTACTTCATATCCAGGAAGCTTTTTCAACTCAAAAACTCACCTTTTTTAATTTTCTTGTTTGTTTTTTTTGTACCTTTAGTGAAAGAAACTTAAAGATACAATTTGAAGAGATTATTTTGAGTGAAGATGGAAAAAGAAATGCATTTAATCTGAAAGTTTCTGAATTGTTTACTGTTTGGGCTCCTATAAATTAGAATAACGGAGAAGTTGTTTTAGTTTTGTAAGACTTTTAAAGAAGCAAACCTCTTCTTTCATAATATAGTAACAGAGATGCACCTTTGCTTCCTGAGTTGTGTTAAAAATCTTCAGCCGCCACATAAACCCATTTTCAGTCTGAATGAAGACAAGGCCAGGAAATGAGATTACTGACGCAGTCCCGCCATGTTTGAGCAAGCTCTGCCCTGGCGGCCTGTTATCCAGAGGAAACCTTAGAAGTCTTGGTGTTTAATGGACTCCTTTAGACGTTTCTGTAGCTGAATCTATCAACTTGCGGCTGTTTTTGGTTCAGCAATGGTTCTTCTAGCTGAGAAAAACTCTGAGGCCATTTTGGCCCTAATGCCATGGTTTTTATTAGCACGTCTATAGCAACAACAGCAGCTGTTTTAGATTATTTGATCCATGGAGTAATTTAGAGTTCATTCTGTTGATTCATCTAATAATTTGATAAAAATTAGCACATTTGCAGGTGAAGTTCAATAAAAAAGATTTAATACTAATTTAAAATAGAAAGGATGCAGCTACAGATTGAAAACTAAGTTCTTAACCTTCAAGTCAAAATCAAAAACATGGACAAAGGGCGGATCCTGCATTTTGCTAGCCTGGCCATGCAGACTGAATTAAACGGAGCCGGCAGATCTGGCCGGACCAATCACAGTGCTGGACTTCAGTATTACCCATAATGCAGCAGCACTTGTCTGCTTGTATAACAGCACGATTGTGACAACAATGCAGCAATGTTGCATTGACTCCAGGAGCGAAGGGATCTTCTTTCCTCGCTGTCATGTGAACTCTCCTACATCTGCTGCAGAGTTTACAGAAAAATATCTATTTTCACCGTTTAGAAGATGTTTAACCAAAGAAGAAATGAACTGTTGGTCTAAACCTTAAAGTAACTTTTCTCTGTTTCCTCCTCAGATCACTGCAGTTTGTAATTTCTTTACCTACATCCGCTACATCCATCAAGGTCTGGTCAAACAGCAGGACGGTAAGAGAAGCAACCCATAGAGATCAACTCAGGTTATACTAAAACACACCCCGCATTGCAGGGAATTTTAATGGGATTTAATGTGATAGACCAAAATAAAGCAGTGAAGCATGGTGGTGGCTGCATCATGTCACACGGTTGGTTTCATTAGTAGAAACCTGGAAGCTGTTTATAGGTGATTACTGACAGAAAACCTGATGGAAGCTCTTTAGAGGTCTGAAGTGAAAAGGTTTAGATGTTGGGTAATGGCCTAGTCAAAGTCCAGACCTACATCCAACTGAGAATCTGTGTTAGGATGTTAGAACTGATGTTCATGGAGATTTTAATCTGACTGAGCGCGGGCTGGTTTCTGTAAAGAGGAACAAACACAGGCCTCATTTGTTTGGGTTTTAGCTTCCCCAGTGGGCCTCAGCAGATGGCCGCTCACACTGAGCCTGGTTCTGCTGGAGGTTTCTTCCTGTTCAAAGGGAGTTTTTCCTCTCCACTGTCGCTACAAGCATGCTTAGTGTGAGGGATTGCTGAAGAGTCAATGAGTCGATGCAATCAGCTGGTTTTCCTTAGAGAGAAAACTTTGAATCAATCTGACTGGATGATCTGGTGAACTGGAAAGTGCTTTGAGATGACATGATGTGAATTGGAGCTATAGAAATAAACTGATTTGAGCTTTTCTCCTTCCAGGTCTAGACAACCATGCATGTGTTGGTCTGTCACAAGAAAAAAATATAAAAAAAGTAAATAAGCTGCAGATTTGAACAACTATAGTAGAAGTTTAATCTCTCAGTGGCAAAAGATTTCATTTACAGTCATATTTATTGTTTCTAGAGTTTCAGCCACATTGAATCATTTTCAGTGGACGTTCATACCTGAAGTTTCTCCTCTTTCAGGGAGAAATCTAAAACTTTCCACCTGTTCTTTGTTTGCAGCGGAGCAGATGTTCTGGGAGGTGATGCAGCTCCGCAGGGAAATGTCCTTCGCCAAGCTCGGATACTACAAGGACCAGCTGTGAGGGGACGCACGGCCACGCCCTCCAATCACAGCCGATTCAGACAGAGCCCCGCCCACCCGGATCTGGTTCCCCTCCTCCTGTGTGTGAGCGATTCTGAGCGTGGAGGGAAAAACCGCTTGTTTGTGGGAAAACGATGGACTGGACTGAAAGCGCGGGAGCTCGGTTCGTCATTGGTGTTTGGAAAAGTTCTTTAGGTTCTCCAAGATTTCTTCTTCATTCTCTGAACTCCATTATGTGACACTAAAACCAACCTCCTTCTACACACATTAAAATATAAGAAATAATTCAGTCCTGACTTTGCTCCAAACTCTGAGAAAACACTTGAAGTATTGTCTAATAAGCTAAGAGGAAGAAAAAACACTAAAATAAACCGTCTGAGGATGAGAATCTATTAAACTTCCAATATTTCAGTGACTAAGCAGTTTTTAAGATGAAACTTTAACCTGAAATGATCCTAAATTTAAAGTCTAATTTCCCTCCTATCACTACAAGCATCTATAAAACGCTCTTTTATAAATTCTTCCCATTATTTTTTTGTAAAACCTGTTTATCAAATTCAATTTTTGTCTTTGCAACTTAGAAGTCCTAGATTCTCTATGAAATCTGTCTTTAAATTTATTCTAAACGTTTGATTTTCAAGAAAAAGCTCAGATTAACAATCAGAAAACTAGCTAGATTTTTTCACTAAATTAAAGCAAGTTTATTTTATTGTAAATTATTTTAGCACATTAAACTCCCCCATTCCTTCCTAAACTTAAGAGGCTTATCTTTTAAAATTTCAGAAAATGTATAAAATGTCTTTATTTTCTGACTGATTCTAATGAGAAACTCTTCAATTTTATTGCCTTCTTCACAAAACTACCAATTACCTTTCTGCTCATTTTCTGCAAGTAGTTTACTTTCAGAATTCGTAAATCCAAAAATCCCAAATGAAGCTGGATTCCTATAAATGGCCCCAATCAATCAATCAAACAAACAAAAAAATAATATGTTCCTCTCCTAAGTTTTATTTTTTTTAAATAATAATATATTATATATATATATATATATATAATATATTATTATATAATATATTATATATATATATAATATATTATTATTATATATATAATATATTATTAATATATATATATTATATATATATATTATAGTCTATAGATTTTTGTCCAGGAATTGTTAAATGTTTTTTTTTTCTTTCATGAAAAAAAAAAAAAAAATCTGCCTTGAAAAATCAGGTCATTTGTTCACAGAAGTGTTTTTCTGTTTCCCTCATAAAACGACCCAAGTGATTTTTCTATAAACTCAGAATCCAAACCTCTGAAATGTTTGTTTTTTGAAAGATTTGTTTTTATTTATGTTGTGTTCATTATTTCCGTAGGAAAATGATTATTCTAGTATTTCTAAACCTGCAGAATCGGACCTGAAGTCAGACAAGAAGACAATAATCAGTCAGTTATTGTTTAGAAATGAAGCTCTTGTTTAGTTTTTTATGTCCCTGGGGGGGGGGGTCTCCTCAGGACTCTTTGCTGTAAAGAACTCTGGACACTCTTGGGAAACAAAGCACTACATTTCCAATTCTTATTGTGAAGCTGATCGTTCTGATTTGGGGGGAAACTTTATCTTCTCCTGCTGTTTACCCTGGAAAGGTGTGAGAACTTATTTGATCGCCTGATGTTCTGTTCTTTAAACCGACTCCACTTCTTTGTTCCACTCCTGGTTTGGTTTAGTGCCTTTTCTCTCAGACACTCTGAAATAAAAGCAGTGATACCTCTGGAAACCCGGCGCTCCGCCTGAAGTCTTTTCCATCAGGGAGCTGTAGTTGGATCCTGTTTATTTTGGGTTTCGTTATTCGGCAGCATTTTATTTCAGGGACCAGATTTCCGTTTCGAGCTTTGGACGTTCTTCTCTCATCTTTGAATCTGATGAGTTGAAGGTTCAGCAGGAACGTCGGGGTGGTTCATATGTTCTGCAGCTGCTGATCAGAACATCGGATTGAGACAGAATGTTATCAGATTTAAAAAAAGCTGTCTAAGATTGGATCAAATTTGTTTATATCCTGTCCTCCATAGTTTGTCCATCCATTCCTCCTCAGGGTTTTACAGGTTCAACATGTAAAACTACTATTTCTCTAACAAACCCTCAGGTCTCATCTTTCTGCTGCCTCCGAGGTTTTTAGAATAACCAAAAGTACGATAAAAAACATTTCCACTCACTGATTTCAAGATTAAAAAAAAAATAGACCTAAAAAAAAAATAACTAAACTGTAATAACTAATTAGAATTAGCTGAATTTTAAGAGAATGCGCTTAGTTTTCATTTGAGTCTTTATCCGAATGCATCGATCAATATGCTGTACCGCATTACGTCAGCAGATGGCAGTACAACAGTCAGATCATTAAGGTTGCTGCAGCAATTTGTCCTTATCTGGGATTTTGTTTTTTAAGGCTTGTCTAAAAGACTAAAGCTATAACTGGAAAAAAAAAAGCATTAAATAAACCACTAACTTACAAATACTAAAATATGAATCAAACATAAAATGAATTTTATCTGAAGTGAGAAAAAAATCTTAAAAAAAAAAAAAAAAAAAAATACAGCAAAAAAAAAAAAATAATCAAACTGATGAATGTTGATGGTTCTGTGCACTCAGAAAACAAATCTGTGCAAACTAGAAGGTTCCTGCTTTGGGTTGCAAAGCATCAGGGCAAGGTTAGAGATTTAATTTTTTTCCGTTTAAGAGAATAAAGTCATAACATTATGAGAATAAAATTGAAAAATTTCGAGAATGAAGTCATCGGACCACAGCCTGTTTCAGGAAAAGCTTCCAGCTTATAGTTTTTAAAGTTCTGATAGTGAGAATAATTTGCTGCTAACAGACTTAATATTTCCGTATTTGTGAAACTGATTCCAGGGTAAAACTAAACAAGATTCTCTACATTCCTGCTTTTAGGGAAGAAAGTTTCTTATCGGTGTTCCGAGTTTCCAACCCGTCAGGATTCCAGTCACCGCCTGATTTAAAAAGCCACTATTTATGTCACTATAATGTCAAATCTGAAGATTAAATCTCTTAAACTGTAAAGACTTAAATCAGATTTAAAAATCATTGAACTTTATTAATCGGTCAGTGGTTTTGCAGGTGATGCAGCTGCTGGTTGATCCAGCATTTAAATTATCTTCCATTAAAGACTATTGGTGAGTTTTGCTGGTGATTTAAATGTTTTCTTCCGCTGGTTGTGAGAATGTTTAAACTCTTCAAACAGCCGAGGAAGTTGGACCAACAGTTAATGTTCACCTATCCAGCTTCATCAGATGTTCCTCAAAATCACAACCCTGTGAGCAAACGCAGTCCTCAATGTCCGTACCAATCGACTCAGGCGGGCTCAGCTGGTTTATCGAGGCCACAGTCCCCACGCCATCCCAGGCAGGAGGAGGGCGATGACCACGGAGGAGAACAGGTTCACGGCGTTGTTGTCCAGGATGGGCTTCCCACAGATCCTCCTGGTGGTGGCCGACTCGTAGCTCACCACCTTCCCGATGCTCGAGTCGAAGCCTGAGGGTTAAGGCGGGGAGCGGGTTGGTGAATTCAGCCTCAAAGGGAACTGAAACAAACCAGACTGGGAACCGTTACTGACCCGAGTACTGCATGTGGGCCCCCAGGAAGGAATCCAGCATGGATCCCAGCAGCCCGGCCACGCCGCCGTACACCACCACCGGCCACTGGGGGTCAGCCAGGTGCAGGTCGCTAACCGTCAGGAGCTGCATCGCAAAGTAAGCCACGCCCACAGCCGCCCCGCCCAGGAAGCTGGCCGCCAGTCCGACGGGAGTAACGCCTCCGTTGGTCCCTGGATGATCAAGAGCAGAGGAGAAGCAGCAGCTTTGGATCAGATAAAAAACCTCCAGACGGCCTCACAGATCTCACTAATCTCTGATCTGAAAAGTGTGGCCTGCATTTATCTTTAACCCCTGATGGAATATTTTAAACCCGCATGTAGAGAGATGGAGATGTTTGCCATTCATATCTGTTTTTGTTACCCCCCCTCACCTGCTGGGACCTCCTTCCAGGTGGTGATGAGTCTGGGCTGTGATTGGCTGAGGACAGGCCCCACCTCCGACGCCCAGGTGTCCCCCGTGCAGCAAGCGAGCGCCCCCAGCAGAGAGAGGCACATCCAGGAGGCGGAGTACTGTTTCCCAAAGTCGATGGGGATTTCACCGGGTCCCACCTGCAGCACAGCGACCATGAGCTTCATGCAGAGCGGCCATTTAAACTGAGAGCAGCCAGTTTGTATTTTCACCTCGATCATGTAGAGCAGAGCGAGCTCCGTGGGAACGCCGCCGTTACAGAACACCTGAACCCAGTTCCTCTGACCCCCTGACAGGAAAAAAACTCCAGTTTTAGGATTTCTTTAGGTTAGAAATTATTCCAACTACTGAGACTCCTCCCACCTTCTTTGTAGTCGGCATCTATTTTCTTCTTCTTCTCTGCCCCCCATCGGGTCAGCTTGCTGGAGGTGATAAAGAAGGCCAGCAGGGCGGAGAAGAAGCTCAAGTTGGCCATCGTCAAAACGAAGCCCACCAGGAGAGCTGCAAGCGGAAGGTAAAACTGAACTTTTTCCCCTTTTCTCTGTTACAGTAAAATATACCATTAAATTTGTTCACATTTAATAACCATAATTAATTAATTGAATTCTTTCAAAAGCCATCAGACATAAAAACCTGATCACTTTGTTTAAAGAGGGATGCGCCTCATATCAGCATCAGCATCTTTTTGCAACATCTGTTTTGGTCGGATAAGGAAAACTGGGCCAACTTTAATAACAGATGTTTGTGTTTGTGGAGGAAGGAGGGGTCGACCACGTGACAGTGAGTCGGTTGAGGATTTATCAGAGAAACAGAAGCAATGTCAGTGTGCTGTTTTTTTTCCATGTTCAATCATAGAATTTCAGTGTTTGTTAATTTATTCTGCATTAAGCAAATAAGTTGGTCTTCATTTGACTCTTTTTCCTTTTATTATTCATGTCTGTGTTTCATGGTACTTTATATTCACATAATATTGGACTGTGTTTGTTTACCAACCGGCTCAATAAAACATATCTATCTATAGAGATCTATCTATCTATCTATGTAGATCTATTAATATTGTTTTATTAGCCATAAAGTGATATGAATATAGTTTTTAGGCATAATTTCACATGGAGCTGGTGCAACCGAACCCAAACCTGTCCTTTTTTTTTTTTTTTTTTTTTTTATTAAATGGAGTCATCTGCATCTCAGATCCACAGTTTTAGATCTTCAGGTCCCTGGAACATTTAAATAAATCATCATCCATGGTAAATATAAACCAATGGCCAAAATGAA